TTTTATTTTTTACTTTGTTACCACTTTTTTTTTTTAATATTTTTTTAACTTTAACAATTATTTTATTTTATTATCTTTTACTTTCTCACTTCTTTATTGCTATCACACAGGGGATAACAAGCCCCTGTGTGATAGTATTTGGAGATCCCACTGTTCGGGCGTTCTTCGCTCTGATCCCTGCTCTCCATCCTGAGCTAATTTGCCAATGTCCCGGGTGCCCCTGAAGAGTGGAGGACCCCAAAAATCAAGGCGGGGATGGTGGGGGCCAGTGGCGGGGGGCAGAACAAACCATAGAGGGGCAGTGGGGGCGGGGGGGGGGGCAGACAGCTCCAGTTTCCTTATTTAGATGTATTGCTATAAGCAAGCTGCTTACAAGTGATCTCTGCGGCTGTACATTTATCCCTGCTTGCCCGAAGCAGGGCTAAATGTAGGAAAAAAACACCTGCCCAGCACCGGAGCTGCATGTCTTGGGCATCGGACGATAGGAATTCACCCCTGGTTACTATGTGTGAAAGAAATTGATTAGCAATTGTCATTCTGGTTGATGGGAGGAATGCTTTTACTTGTTTAGTTTTTATGAATCATGATCAATCATGGTATAAACGGGTAAGATGCATCCCACAGCCACAATTTCATGCAGGCCTGCATCAGGAATTTGAATTTGATGGATCATAATGCAGGGAGGTTTTTACATTGCAGTCTTTTGGCAGTACATCTCTACTGACCATGTGAGGTAGCCTGTGTGTGCTGTGGCTGCAGTTGGTTTCAGGAGAATTCAGATTAAGGTAATTTTAAATGATTTTAGGGATAGCTCAAGCATGCTGGAAAGCATCAGTAGTTAACTGAATGGTTTAAGTTGTTGCCTGGAATGAATCTTTATTTGCTCAAAAAGATAACGTCAGGCGACAATGATGATTATATTGATGCTTGCAATAATAATGTTAAAGGGTATCTATGGTCCAAAAATAAAAATGTGTTTCTGCATTGAATTTCCATAAGTTCTATCCCACTTCTAATAACCATATTGATCTAGACATTTGTAAACTTACCTGTTGAAGATGCCTTTAGGATGTACTGTACTTCCTGAGTCACAATTTCTTTCACAAATGTATGAAAGGTACAAAAATAACAAAATCAAGGCTTGCAAGCCATGCGACAAGTAACAATATAGTAGACATACATTCTAAGTGCTGCGCAGAGCACTGCAGAATACTGTGAGTAACAGATGTAGTATGTCGGGTTCTAAAAAACAGCATAAAAAGATCAGTGCTGTATAGTCTTGATCTGAGTCACAATTTCACTCAGCCCTGTGAATGTGATTATTATTATTATACAAGCTTTATATAGCGCCAACAGTTTGCGCAGCGCTTTACAATATAAGGAAGACATTACAATCACAATACAATTCAAGACAAGATGGTAAGGAGGGCCCTGCCCATGAGGGCTTACTATCTAAAAGAATATGTACTTCCTTTTGTCACAACTCTTACAGAACTACATCTTAACATCTGAACAATGTAACATTATCATTGCTTGCTGGAAGAAATGCATGATGGGATATGCATACATAGAAGAGGATAGCGAAGGGGACCAGGATGCAATATGTATTCCTATACCTCTTGCTTGTATCCTGCTAACACTGTAAGTTCTGTACATTGTAGTGCACTGCATTGGAAACACTCATGCAGGCACATTGAAAGCTCTTTCAAAATACAGCTCAATGGTTGAAAAACGTGTTTTAAAGCTGACCTCTAAGAAAAAAAAAAACATGAACTGTTTTACTCGTTTGAGGATTTTTTTTTTGTTTTTTTTTTTTAGTTAATAAATCCTACAATCAATCTTAAAATCAATTTACATTTTAATCCAATACTATGTTATACCAGCCACTGATTTATGAATGAGAACCTCTACCACTCTTAGTTTAAAAAAGTCCATCCAACGCCGTTATTTGGATATAATCTATAACAGGGCTGGACAAACCCCAGGAGCCAGATAGCCAATGCTCCTTAAAAATCACAGCTGGCGCCTAACTTTTGAGGTTTTCTCTATTTGGTCAACATGATTTTTTTTTTGTTAGGAGCCAACCCCATCGACAGCAGACTGGCTCCTAAATTCCATATTAATTTGTCTACCCTTGATCTATAATTTTCAGTTAAACCCCTCACGCCAATATGTTTCCCAGCAGCAGACACTACCCGATCCAACACAAACCGGTTGCTAAACATATTATTTATAAATGTGCCGCGCTAATACCCAATAGTGCACTCCAAGATACTAAAAATTATATTTTATTAAAATACTACTCACGTAGATCGCATATAACACAAAGTAAAAACAGTGCGCAGTGGGTTGAGAAATCACCATTTGGGATCAGCAGCCTCTCAGTGGAGTGGAGAGGCTCCTAATCCCAAACTGTTGCAATCTACAATTGTTTTATGTGAGTAGTGTTTTAATCAAATAATTTTTTTTAATTCTCGGAGTGCACTATGTTTTGTGCAACTTTGATTTTTTTGGGATAATCGAATGAGGTACGCTGTGAGGCTTAGGAGTGGAGGACTGCTACTCGAGTGAGGGTGCTATTCAGTTGAAGGAGGTTAGAGTGTCTTGACCGTGTTAGGTTGTCCCATAAGGTGAGAGGCACTCTGGAAAAGGTGTACACCCGGGAAAGAATTCAGTTTGGGGGTGGAGGTGCAGCACTCATCTCATAGCTACTGGGATAATTGACACATTGCCCAAACACATATGAACTATTGTGAAATTGACACATTGTTGAATCACATGTGAACTATCGAGAAACTAACACATTATTTTATATATAATAATCTCTGGTATACTGATATATCTGTAAAAAAAAAAATAAGTCAAGGCAACTGGACTTGCTGTATTTTTCTTGAAGACGTTTCACTGGTCATCCCACCAGCTTTCTCAATTCACAATGAATTGTACAAAAATTCAATGGGAATAAATATGGTGCATGTTGCTCCAATCCACATAATCTGTTAGTCGCAAACCATGCGTTAATTACATTTGCATAATTTGAGCTAGTAGGTGTTAATGCAAATGCATCAACACCTGGTTGCGACTAACAGATTATGTGGATTGGAGCAACATGCACCATATTTATTCCCATTGAATTTTTGTACAATTCATTGTGAATTGAGAAAGCTGGTGGGATGACCAGTGAAACGTCTTCAAGAAAAATACAGCAAGTCCAGTTGCTTTGACTTATTTTTACAGATATACCATGACCTGGATGAATGAGAACCTTCACAGACATCTGGTATTCTGACATATTGTATAAGTATCTTTTTTTTATTTGTACACTTTGTTTCTGCATGTATCATTACTATTCATTGTACTAGGTTGATTTGATTAGTATGTATTATCTATCTTTATAGTTTATATTGGTGATTTAAGTATTCATTATACGGTATTAGATTGTTGGTGTTTTTATATGGATCTATCTGCTCTTTATGCACTTTAGCGATTTAGCATTTTGTATAAGCATTGGTGTGACCCTTGGTTTATAACCCTACAGGAAAAGGAATGGCCATTAATTTAATAAGTAGTCCAGAACGTATTAGTTATACTAATGGTTTATAACTGATTAGTGTGTGGTTGTGAATGCTTCTTCTTAGATAACATGGTCCAATGGCGAGCAACAAATTAGAATAATAACATGATGTAATGATCATACCTCATTTTCATCCTTATTTATTTTATTTCTAGCACCTGATGAAAAGGATGCAATTAAAGGACAATATGAGAGGCACCAGGAAGCCCATGGATGCTTGGGGGAACTTCAGTTAAAATCAGGTGATTTTTTTTTTCTTTTTAGCTGATAACAATGCCACCCACAAAGCAAAGGTTGGTTGATGAAGGGTTTGCTATTTGAAAGGTTCACCCATAAGATGAAATCCTAACTTTCTGCTTAAAATACTGTCATACCCAACTGCTGTGAATCCAGTGGATGTGGGCCACTAGTTAAGAGACTTTGCCATGGGGTAAAAAACAAACCTGCTGTTGCTATAAATTACAGGTATTTCATCCCATTCCCCCTAAGCTCCTGCCTTCCACTCCCCCTTCCATTCGCCCCTTATACCTTCCTACCCTTCTAATTTATTGTATGTAATGCTTTTCAATCCTTCTTTTTTGGTCATTAAAAAAGAAAAGAAAAAAGCCTAAGAAAGCTTACCTGTGCAGTTGTGAGGTATACTGAATATGGCGGGATGACCATGAAGGGTTCTTTATCTGTCGGGACCTCCGCCAGCAAATTACATACTTAATAGTTGTTCCCTGTTAAGATGTGTAATGGTTTTGCTGTACAAGAAATAAAGCAGTGTCGGAGCTCACCGCTAGCTATCAGTATGGCCCAGCATGCAGCAGTAGGCAGCAAGGTTACAGAGGTTTCTGGAGGTATTGGCAAGCACCTCAAGGTGCCGTGTAGGCCTTTATACCTGCATTTTTTTTTCCCTTGATAGATTCTCTTTAAGATTCCTGTGCATTAGCCCCCATTCACACCTCAGGGTCTTGTTGCATGTTTCCCGAAGCACAACAACGCTTGAAGAATCACATTATTTTAAGTGGGGCACATCCACACCTGAGTGTTTTATTGCCTGTCACTTAAACGTAAAAAAGTACATGAGCTTTTTTTCTTGGGAAAATCGCCTGTTTTTTGCTCCATAGACCTCAATGAAGGCACCTGCAAAAAACACACAACTCATGCTTTTCATGCAATTTTCCACCTAACAACCATCTCCTCCTACTAATAACTAGCTTAACATTGGCTAAACAAAAGCTGAAGTCTGAAAACTCACAAAATAAAAGAGCACAAACAAAATGCTTCTAAACTGCCTGAAATACGCTCAGCTCAGGTGTGAATGTAGGCTTATTGTAGTATAGTATTAGCGTTGTAGTAGTATACGGCCAATATAAAATGACTTCATAAGATGAAGATGGTATATATTTATGTCTGCAGTTGGCTTTCTGATTTTTGCACAACTGCATTATTGCACTAAAATGGCACACACAGTAAACAGAGTATGCCGTGGCACTCCGGGGAGCCTGCTGACTTCCTCAGGGGTGCCTTTGACACTTTGTGATGGTAGGACTCTGATGTGAAGGGGGAACACTGATATGAAAGGGGTGTTCTGATATGGAAGGAGGCTTCTAATGTGAAAGGGGGTTCCTGATGTGAAAGGAGGGGACTCTGATGTGAAGGGGTCTCCTGATGTGAAGAAGGACTCAGATGTAAAAGAGGGAACTATGATGTAAAAATAGGGGGCTTCTAATGTAAAGGGCAGCTATTGATGTAAAGGAGGTCTCTAATGTGAAAGGGGACTCTGATGCAATGGGAAGTCACCTAATTTGAAGGGAAGACTTTGATGTGAAGGGAGGAACCCCACTTTGTGTAGCGCCCTCCCTTAAGATTCACTACAGTTTAGACTGGGGTGACTTGAGATTTTGCATACCTTTTAAAGGCTGCCATGACTGGAAAAAGGTTGAGAAATCTGCCTTAAGATATATATTTTAAAATGATCATTATAAGCCAATTATAATTAACACAACATCCCGATTGTTTGTTTTGTAAGACTTTTCAGCTTTGAGAGTTTGTTCATGCTGTTATTACACAAACATTAAACTGTCGGACAGTATTATGTAATGGATTGCTGCATATTCACTTTATAGAATACAATGATTTAAAATCTAAATGTAGGTTATCTGAAAACAAATTTTCACCAAATGTAACAGTCTTGAAATCATTAAAGCCCGTTCAGTTGAATGCATTTCTTGTGTATCAACACAAAATGTATCCAAAGTAGGTCTGAAACCAACGAATCGGTTAATGGATGATAATAGATAATGAGAATGGTTGTCAACTGTTCTCATAGACAATTAGTTGGTTGGAACCCCTAGCTCTCTCCTCCATGCTGGGAGGAGGGCACAGCAAGCAGTGGGCTGCTGCAATAGCCAGCCTGCTATTGGATATTGCACTTTGAAATGGCCAATAGGAGGCTGACTATTGTACCAGCCCACTACCTGCTGTATTTACATTCAGCTGCCGTCTGCGGAATCTTGCTACTGGCAGCTGTCATTCCCTGGCTGAAGCTATTCAAGCGCCATGTGCTTACAATACAATTATTATTTTTTAAATGTATAAAAGGTGGGGAAAAAAGACAATTTTTGGTTTTGGCCTGACAAATTCTGCTGCGGGAGGTGCCCTGCAGTGCCATTCATTTGAATGGCACCCCAAATGCGCCTCCCACCCACAGTATGATCACCCTCACTGGAACGCACGGTACAATGATGCGGCGCGTTCCAGTGCAGTGTGATTGCAAGAAATTGTGCATGCAGTTTTATTCTGAAGTAAACATTGTTTGTAACACTGCATTTGTGTATTTTATTTTATATTTAGGATGATATTTTTTTTTTATCCGATTAATGGAAAAAATAATCAGCCAACTAATCATAAGTTGCAGCCCTCATGCAAAGGATTAAGGTCACCCCACATGTTACCAGCTGACCGTTCTTGTGCAATCAGATTGTAATGTGTGTGGTAAGCTTCCTGGTTTGTTTTCTTTAGAAGACACCCACACCCTGAGTAGTAGAAATGCTGTCCCCTGCCAGCGTGTTGTAGAGTAAAACTCTTGCTCTCTCTGTGGAAGCAGTGGTCTCCCTGCAGAGGTCCAACGTGTTCGCTGCTGAGTCAGAGCTAGAGCTCTCCAATCATCAGGAAGCATGAGCTTTACTCATTGCAAAGCTATAGGTTAATGTTAATTTTACAGTACTTTGAAGTAAAGGTGAAGCTGCAGGTGACTAAGCATTCAAAATGAACACAAAATGTAGCTATACTACATTCACTAATATAACGAAACTACATTCACTAATATAACGAAACATTCACTTTGCAAAGTATACATTCTCCACTAAAATAAAGCACTTATCTACAAAATACAAAGTTTCAAACTTTGAATCTAGCCTTACATAGGAAGGGGGAATTAGGGGAAGGAGTCACTGCTCTGACTCATTCATTTGTGTGTGAAAAGTCTTAAAGCTGAAAGAAGAACTCCAGACAAATAAAATATTAACCCTTGCAGTGGGGCTGCTCCCTCACTTGATGACTTGCAGGACATTAGACCGCCAGAGCGGAGGGGGAGCGAGGCAGAAGGTACTGGTCTCAAAGCTAGCCAGAATTATGGTTTGGGTGAGTATATCTCTGTTATTTTAGCTCCCCAGGCAAAATGAGCACTTAACCCTTGCAGTGAGGGGTAGCCCCACTACAAGGATTAAGATTTTAGTTCGAGCCGGCGTGTGACAATGAAACTGTCACATGTCAGCTCAATAGGTCGGGAAGTGAGCAAGCACATAACGTCGCTCGCTCACTTCTCGATCATCTCACTGCAGAGAGCCGTGACTGTCACTCACGGCTCTCTGCAGGGATTGCCCTGCTCCGATCCTCCGGCGCTGACTGGAGGAACGAAGGGGGGAGGAGGCGGGTACAGCTGGCTCTACCTCTAGATAGGCAGAGCCAGCTGTCACTCACGCAGCTGGGTGGATCATGACAGTAATGTCGGAATCCGTCCCAGCTGCGGCGGTCTCAGTATATCGCAAGCTATAGCTCGCGATATACTGAGCTTTGGGTTGCAGGAGGAGGTTAGTATATGTCCTTCCGTGACCCTTAAGAGAACTATGGGGAAAAACACTTACCCCATAGTTCTCTTTTAAGCTCTGTAAACAGTCTTTTTACACCAGGAGGTAAGGAGAACCTGGAAAATGTGAAAAGGATCCTATAGCGCCACCTGTCTGCTAGAATAAAGTATACAAAATATTTATATGCAACATTTCATTTAAAGTGTATATTTCTTAGTTCTGAATTTAGCACGAGTAAAGGGTAAACTATAATGGTTTTGGGTCAATTGTATTATTTTTTTGAAGTAAAAAGAGTTATACTGTATATATTGCTTTCCTCCTAATATTAAATAATTTGTCTTGTAAATAAACATTTAAAACGGGGAGTACCCATAATATATGTGTTACAGAGCTTAACTGTTTTTCTAAAGAAAGAGCACAGCGAGTGGTTGTTTGCTTTCAGACTGCCTCTCTCTCTAATTAAAAATTTGCATGCAGCTGTGCTGGGAGAAACAGGGAAATGGTACATCTGAAATATTCCTATACCACGTTTCTTATTCACCTGGCTGGAAAAAAAAAAATTTTTCATTCCTGGACATAAAGAAGAGGAAAGTTGTATTCACAAGGATACAGTGTAATACAGCATGGAGCTTTAGTAGGGTACATTTAAGATCAATTGTCTTAAGCTGGTTGTACACGTGGCAATTTGCAGGAGCAATTGAACTTTCAATCTAATTTTTTTTCACAAACCAGTGCAAGAAAAAATTGTAGTTTATATTGACCGTAAGAATTTGGCATTGAAATTTCCCCAATCGAAGACATTCCCATAGTTTTTGTTTCCGTTTTCAAATTAAACCTTAAATAAACTACATTTCCTGGCCAAAAAAAAAAGTCACCATGTGGATATCAGGCAGTGTTATGATCTCGGGTTGCTACAGTTTGTCAGGTCTGGGTTTATCAACATTATGTCCTTTAAAAAAATGAGGTCAGCTGCCTACCTGAATATACTGATTGACCAGGATTTTCCATCGATGGATTTTTTTTTTCTTCCACGATGGCATGGGCATATTTCAAGATGACAATGCCAGGATTAATTGGGATCAAATTGTGAAAGAGTGGTTCAGGAAGCATAAGATATCTTTTTACTTTAAAAAAAAATGATACACATGGATTGGTCACCACAGAGTGACCAATCCATGGTCACGACTTTACGCTGTGGTCCGACTCTCCCATCATCACTACAAGATATTGGTGAAAACTTAAAGTGACATTAAACCCTCAGATTTTTTAACATAAAACAATACTGTAATGTGTGCCTTACTGTAATCAATGGTTGTTTCCCTTCTCTTTGCTGCTCTTCCTTTTTAATCTGTATCTGTTCGCATGCTCTGCAGAACTTCTGTTTTGCAGCAGACTGCCTTGTCTCAGGAATGGATACACGGTGTCTGTGTATACGTTTCTATAGGCTTGAAACCTGAGCCAGCACTACAGGAAGAGGCCCTGAGCTGAAAAGGGAAGTTCTTCCCAAGCATGAGAAGACATGAGGATTTAAAAGGAAGAGCAGCAAAGAGAAGGGAAACAATCATGGATTACAGTAAGGCACACATTACAGTATTGGTTTATGTTAAAAAATCTGAGGGTTTAATGTCACTTTAATGCAACTGTGGATGGAAATAAATGTTGTGACATGACATAAGCTTATGGAAACGTTGCCACAGCGAATGTGTGCTGTAACAAATGGAGTGTGTAAATTATTATTTTTGGCAGTCTATATGGAAACTCAATTAATTTCGACTTCCCAACTGATGACTTCTGGTAGTCAATTGAACTTGTAGATAGCAAATTGCTTTGTTTCTGACAATTACATGCTCTTTGCTATTGCTGGTGGATGAAAAATGGTTGAAATTTACCAAATATTGCCATGTATATGGCCAGCTTTATTGTTGCACACTTGTATTAGGAATAACGTTCTTGCAGAATGCTCAGGTGGCTGATGCAGTAAGAAATGCAGCTTCTGTCCAGCTTTTGGTGGCTCGGCTGTCATCTTCTGGATTAATGAACCTGATGCAAAAGACATGTATAGAGCAAGCTAAACATGTTTTGATATCAGATCTTTTAAGCTGGCAATGTAGTGGGGATAAAAGCTTCTGCTTGGAAATCTTGGCAGTCAATTCATAAAAAAACAGGTGATTCAACCAATCTATTATGTTAGTTTTGGATGGCTGCCCTTTAACTCAGTGTTAAAGTGTATTTCTAAAGGGCTTGTCTGAAAAAAGTAAATATATAATGACTGTCTTGGTTTGCAAATGTCATTGAAGACTTAAGGGAAATACAGTGGTTTCCAAAGAGCTTTATTGAACCGGTTTGTCAAGTTTTTATCTTCCATTGTACTCTGTACTAGCTGTACAGGTAAAGTAAACTTGGTAGGAAGCTTCTATGGCTTTTCTACTTTTTTTTTGTTTTGTTTATATAGGATCTATATTAACATAAATAAATTATTATTAACATCGATCACTATGTTGATCATAAAGCAAATTTGTTGAAATTTAATGTAAGTTTTAATCCTAACTAGATTACATTTAGTTTTCTAAATCACTGTGTATCATAAACAATCCCCCTGTTTGTCTGTTTTTTCATAAAATGCTTGTTTTGCATATCAGTACTACTGATCTTCTGCCTATTTTAGCCATATCTCGTCTACTTGCTCCAGTGCCATCTGCAAATCATTGGCCAGACTGTCTTCCCGTGCAATGCGTTGGCACGGCCACTTGTAGTTTCCAGCAGGGGCTCATGTGACAGGGTGACAACATAGGAACTTAATGGAGAGACATTTGTCACCCCATAACAGGAAGTCAACCACTAAGCAAGGACTGTCATGTCAGGGTCACCAGATAGTCTCTTAAGTAACGCTGCAGAAAACAACTTTCAAAAATAACATTAACATGTTAAATGCTTTTATGAAATTTTAGTTTTGTTGGGTCAAGATTTACTTTGAGTAAACATCAATTTGACACCAATCATTTAGTCGATCTTAGACCATCTTAGACCATCTTTGTTACCTTCTTTGTTACCATTGTTGCTATTGATTCATTTATATGCAGCAATCCAACCTAAACATTTGTAGGACAATTGGTAGTTGCCACATCTAGTCAATAAAAGCCACCAATGGTGTCTACTGTCCCAAGTTGAGATAGACTAAGGGCTAGATAGATGAGACTCAATTCTTAAATTTTACACTTCAAGATTAGGATCATTATTTTTATCTGTCTGATATTTTTTTTTAAATGAGTCACATGGCTGACATAAAGATCTTTATACATGTGTTTACAGTCTTGTGTTCAAAAATTGGTTGTAGACTGGATATAATAGACTAGGAGGCTGATAACAGAATTGTGAAGAATTGCCTCTAGCTGTTTACAGATTGTAGACTTTTGAGTCCAGAATACCTGCCAGAAGGAAGTGGGGGCATAGTAATAATAAAGTCCACTGGGGCAACCTAGCTTGTAGATGACAAACAGAATAAATGATGTTTTGTGAAAAAACTTTTGACCAATAGTGAGATGAAGAAAAAAAGAACCATGCCGTAGAGGGCTACAAGTATTTTAGTTAAGACAACATCGGCATGTATGTTTTGTAAGCTGAAAAAAGGAACAAAAATATTCTGGAGTTTACATCCACGTATATAACTTGTGATGGAAAGGATGTCAAGGAGATTAGAAAAAGGAAGGAGCCTTTACTCAAAATAATAACCTTATTGGAAGAAACTATTCAAAGTGTTCCCTTTCCAGGAGGAAGGTTGAGGATAAAAAGACAATGTCAAAGAAGTGTCTTAGCGGAGGGGAGTGGGCTGAGTGTTAAAGCAGGCAGCATGTGCAGGAGAGGATTATGGAGAGTATGACAAGAGCAGAATGTTTAGAATTGGAGTGTGGAGGGTATGACAAGGCGCAGTATGTGAAGGGGCAGTTATGCAGGAGAGGAGTGTGGTGGGTATGACATCGGGCAGTTAATGCAGGAGAGGAGTGCGGTGGGTATGAAATCAGGCAGTTTGTGCAGGAGGGGAATAGGTGGAGCATGAAGTCAGGCAGTATGTGCAGGTGAAGATAATGGAGAGTATGACAGGGGCAATATGTTTAGGATTGGAGTGCGGAGGGTATGACAGGGGGCAGCATGTAGAGGAGTGTGAAGGATATGACAGCAGACAATATGTTCAGGAGAGAAGTACAGAGGGAATTAAAATGGGCACTGTATACAGAAGAGGATTGTGAAGGGAGGCAGTGTGGGGCATATTACGGGGACAATATACTCAGGTGGGGAGTGTGCAGTATATGGCAGTAGGCAGTATCTTACCTCGCACATGCCGAAACATTGCCTAGCGATACACCCAACATGGGTAAGAGGAGCATTTATTTTCTGACTATTTTAAGACATGCTAATGTCAGTTGCTCCATATTCCATAGTAATATTTCATACAAATAAATAGGCCTGTTTGCTAAGAATCTCTATTGTTTGAGGCCTTAAACCTCTATGGAATATTATTGTGTACGTTCGAACATCAGGGAGCAGTAAGCATCAAATAATATTGACAAATTAAAAATGTGGATCAGGACAGGCCACAGTTGTAGCATCATGGTATGATATATTCAGTGGTATGTAAAGAATAATATGGTACTTGGGTTGGGGGGAGGGGGCGGGGGGGCATGGGGAGGAGAGTGTTCTATCATGTACAGTATTTTGTTGGAAAGTGTAGTTGTACTTTTAAGTTATATAAGCCACTTTGTTCCCTTGGGGAAATATTAGCACCCAAAAATACCTAAAATATGCATGGTTTCCAGTATTTTTGTTACAGCTCCAGCAAGCAGGGTTACTTAGCTTATTAAACGTGGATTATAAAAAAGATTTTATACTACCAAATGACCATACTATATTATAATTCCAGTGAGAGAACATCAGGGCGCAAAGAGGGCATATTTTTCTGAAAGCAAACTTGTGCTTTGCATTCAGGGCAAAGCAACAGTTTTACTTTAATTCCCCTTTCCCTTCCCCACTACATGTTTTTCCATTCCTTCTTTCCCCTGCTATTTTGTTCAGTGCTGGGAGCCAAAGGAAATACCCAGTACTTCTGGGTATGGAGGAGCATGTGACTCTCTTAAGGTGGGGTATTTGAGTGACCCTGCTGGTTTGCTCTACATATAAGGTATATGTATAATTATATAAATATATATTATTATGGTATACTATACGTCTGTGTGAATTATGAATAAAGTAACAAATTATATAAACAAGAACTCAAATGAGTATAGTCATGCAGAAGCCAATAATTTTATGGCATTCGGAGGCTTGGATAAAAATTTGAATCTCATGATTATTATTTCTGCAATTATAATTTGTCCCCAAATAATAAATACCCACTTGTCCATTCATAGAATTTCAAGTCCCAAATGGTTTAACCAGCCGTAAAGCATGACTGGCCCTATTGTGTTTCACTAGCCATTGTGCAACAGTAGTGTACATATCTACTTGACTCCAAAGATTTCTGCTGAGCAGCATAATAGATTAGTTAAAAAAGGTAATTGCATGTTTCACAATATGCATAGCAAAAGGAGATATGCAATACACGTTGGACATAGTGGACTAGTATAGTAGTACACCCTACTAGTAACAAGGGTAAGAAAAGGCAGTATGTTAATATGAAGTATGATTCAATATTTAAGCCATTTATGGTTTCACAATTTCATTTATTTACATCATTTTGTCTTTTGTCTTTTTTTTCTAGGGACCTCTTATTTGCACTTTCTTGTTTTAGTAAGTGGATGCACTTCTGTGGGAAAAATTTTAGATGCCGAAGTTTTCAAAATCACAGCTACCGAGTTCTGCCCACTTCAAGAAGAGACCAAAGAGGAGGAACGAGTGACAGCTCTTAGGAAGTTTTTGAATTCAGGGATGTTTTATTTCTCATGGCCAAATGCAGGATCCAACTTTGACCTTACTGTTCGGGCTCAGAAACAAGCTGATGACAGTAGCTCTGAGCCTTGCAGCTGGTTCTTCTGGTTGGTATTTTTATGTGTCCACTATTACACTATAGTAAATATAAAAATTCTTCCTTACTTCTATTAATGCAAGTATATTGTATATATACACCAATCAGCCATAACATTATGACCACCCCCTAAAATTGAGTAGGCCCCCAAACAGCCCTGACCCCTCAAGGCGTGGTCTCCACTAGACTTTTGAAGGTATGCTGTGGTATCTAACACCAAGCCACAGATGCTCAATTGGACTAAGATCTGGGGAATTTGAAGGCCAAGTTAACACCTCAAACTTGTTATTGTGTTCCTGAAACCATTCTTGAACCATTTTTGCAGTGTGGCAGAATACATGATTCTCCTGAAAGAGGCCACCATCATCAGGGAATACTGTTTCCATGAAGGAATGTACTTGATCAGCAACAAAGTTTAGGTAGGTGATACGTGTCAAAGTAACATCCACATGAATGGCAGGAGCCAAGGTTTCCCAGCAGAGCATTGACCTCCTTTTGGTAGGCCCTGACCACTGCAGACCAGGAACATTCCGCAATTGCTGCAGTTGCCCTTGTCAAAGTCACTCAAATCCTTACGCTTGCACATTTTTTCTACTTCCAACACATCAATTTCAGGGACAAAATATTCACTTGCTGCATAATATATCCCATTCACTTCCAGGTTTCATTGTAACAATATTTATAATGTTATCCACTTCACCTCTCAGTGGTCATAATGTTATGGCTATTTGGTGTGTGTGTGTGCGTGTGTGTATATATATATATATGTGTATTTGGGGTGTATTTGAAAAAAAAAATGTGCAGAGCCATTCGCCCTGTAAACCTTTATGTACATTCGTTCTGTGCAAATGGAGACAAACAAAATACGATTAATATAGTTTCTTTGCAGTATGAATGAAATGTCAGGAAAATACCGCATTATAGCCACTGGAGGGAGCTGAGGAGCATAGGAAAAATAATTTCCTTCTAATGCTCCTCGTTGCCATCTCGTGGCCATAATGTGGGATCCTTCTAATATTACATTCGATGTGTAAATAAAATAAATTAATAACATTTATTTTTGCCTCCATTAGCACATGAAGCTTCTCAGGACAAATGGCTCTGCAATTTTTTTTATAAATGCATCCCAATGTATGTGAATTTGTAAGGATGCCGATAAATAGTGCTGATTAAAAAAACAGACAAGACAATATCAAAAGTAAATAGCAAAGTGACAGTTCTTGTTTAATTTATTAAATTAAGATACTGTAGTAGATAGCTACTTTTTGTCATGGGTACCCGCACCTTTAGAGTGTCCCAGAACCCTTTACCACAAGAGATTTATAAATGCATTGTGCTATTTGCTAGAATAATTTTCGTCAGCATTTTGGAATGAAACCTCTACAATGCCTAATATTTAATTAAATTAAATCTTGATTTCTACAAGATCTATATCACACATATTTCCTGTTTTATAATGGCTGGTCAAGTGCCAATTTTCCGGCAGTGATCCAACAGCAACTTCCTTTTCAAAGTACATAGAATATAACAATGCAAATATAGACTGCCGACACCCTTCTTGTAGTGCACCTTTGGTGGGGCATGTAGATAGGCAGTTCCAGGTGCAGACACACTGCCTACAATGAGTACTTAGTAATGCAAAATACAAACCAAATTACCGGTGTTTGGCTTTTTCCTACCCCTTATAATTCTTAGTAATGGCTATTAAGGCCAACCATCACTGGACTAAGCCAATAGTAAGGAACAGGTAGAGACTGCTCATGAGTAAAGCTGGCCATACACCAGAAGAATTTCATTAAAAAAAAGGGTAATCTGCTAGTTTTCCTCTAGGGACTAAAATAACAGTTACAGTATACTCGTCTGAACCTTGGATCCGGCTGGCTGTCACAGCACTCCCTCCAGCCTGCCTACTTCTACACTGCAGCGATGGTATGTCCCTCGGCATCCTCACATCCTATACACTGTGTATAGAACATGATGACTCATGGAACCTTAGACCGCTGCAGAGGAGGAGAGAGGTGGAAAGGACCTGCCTAAAGGATCGGGTAAGTATAACTTTTTTTAATCTTAGTCCCTATATGAAAACGAGCAGTTAAAGGTTAATATAAATTTGCCCAGAGTGCTTCTTGAAAGGTAAAACCAAATGAAATTTTGAACGACATTCGTTAAGTTTCTGAAGGCATTATGAAATGCTCTGACAAGATTTTTCTTATGAACATTCATATGAAAATCTACCACTGTATGACCACCTTTACAAAGGACTAATGTGCTTGTGTGAAACAAAACCTCCCATAGGATGTCCATGCTGAACTTATGCTAACAGTGTAGGACAAAACCAATTTGCCCTCAGGCTTGGGTGTTACTGACCTGGGACAGATATTTGGACATAGGAACACCCTTGGTGCTCGATTGGGGCCCATCGGAGGATTTATTCGTTCTCAGGTGGGCTAGACTGGTCCTGTCCATGCACAGATATTGTTTCAATGTTTTATATACTGTATAGTTACCAGCGATGCACCGATATGAGTATTTGGCCGAGTAACCCAATGCCTATTCCAAACTTCCGGTATCAGGAGCTTCCTCATACCGGAAGTTCAGGATAGGCATTGGGAGCATTTGGGCGAGTAACACTGGGTATTGACACTGATACAGATACTAGTATCAGTATCTGTGCATCCCTACTACCTATATATATAATATGTTACCACTCTCGAGCATGGAGCTGGCTTCCAAGCCAATCAGGAAGCCGAGGGGCGTGTAATGTCTCGCCGCTCAGCTTCCTGATTTGGTCAGGAATCTGGCCAATCAGGAAGCCAGGCGGTGAGTCATTAACCCCCCCGGCTTCCTGAATGGCCAGAAAGCCGCCTCCAAGCTTCCTCATCACCAGGTTATGAGGGAGCATGGAGACGGCTTCCTGGCTAATCGGAAAGCTGGGTGGCGAGTCATTACACACCGCCCAGCTTCCTTAATGGGACTTCCGTATGCGTGTTCGGTTTTGGCGAGTACCAAAAAAAAAAAAAAAAAGTTACTTGATACCGAAAAACCAGTATAGTATAGAGACTTTCATCCAAACATTGGACTTTTGGGGTATAGACATGATAAATGTCTGTATGTGTCCTTGGGTACCTCCAAAAGTCCAATGTTTTCTTGAAAGTCTCCATTTAAACTAATTAAATATATATGTTTATCCAGACAAACAATCTTGAAAAGAATGTAGTTTTCCGTTTAACATTTCCAGTGCACAGACTATACAGAAAGCTGGCATAAAATATTGAGTACATGGATGGAAATACACTGCTACACGTTTGAATGGGTGCACTGTAAGTAAATCTGGATGTTACTCATTAATGACTAAGCGCGTATCTTTTTCCCTAGTTTGGTTTCTCTTGTGTATGTGTGTGGTAAACGGATACCATCCATACAAAGCCATGCATTTAGGGAAACCTGCTACAACTAAAGGAAAAAGATCCAGATTACAGATATGTTCCTTTACTTTCTGCACTTGAGTATTTCTCATTCATTCTTGGCTTAAAACACAAAGCTGGTGACTGTCTTTGGTTTCTCTACGGTTTGTGAATTTTGAAAGGGATTTATCATGCATCCTTGAAAAGTTTGAGAGTACTGCGGTTTTATACGAAAAAATATATGGCTTAACCGCAAAGAAAGTGATTTTTAAATACTTAATAGTATTAACCACTTATTCCTGTGTACACAATGTGGGGTTGTCAGTTTGTTAAAAAGAGGATAATCTTAAATGACTAATGATTGTAAATCTCCTGTGAATCCCAGTCTATAATTACTGTCACAAATTTTCTTCAAGAGAAACATCATTTGTAAAATTGTTCTTCCTATTTTTTGAAATACTTTAGCACTGAAATTAATATTTACACTAATCTAATTAAAGTAATCATTTTTGCCCTATGGGCAGAAGAAGAAAAAAAACCTTTTGATTCCTCCATCTATGCTTCAGCCCCTCCCACTCGCTGGGCTACAGGGTCACACACTGACCGAGTCAGCAGTGTAGCGTCAGCTAAAAGTGTATCTAATCCCAATAATATAGTGCTGTTTATTAATCCTTGTTGGGCGCATTCGTTTTAAAAAAAAAAACTTTTGTCTCCTTTATTTTCACCTGGTGATCCGCCCAATAACACACTTCCTATCTTAGGGTGTTATGGAGGAGCAATGGAGCCACCCATGGACAGCAGCAATTTCATCCTTTGGAGATGGTAGTGTACATAAGCGTTTATTAACCAAGGTGCCGTGCAACACTGGTGTGCCTCCTGGCCTCCTCAGCGGTGCCTCAAAATTTTGTGCTAGTGGAACTGTAATATGAAGGGGGAATGAAGACTGATGTGAAGGGGGCTCCTGATGTAAAAGGAGAACTCTCATGTAAAAAGAGGACTCTGATTTAAAAGTGGGGCTTCTGATGTGAAAATGGGGCTCCTGATGTGAAGGAGGGCTGCGGATGCAAACGGAGAATCTGTTGTAAAGGTGAGGAATCTTGATTTGAAGGTGCCACTTCGATGTTAATGAGGAAACCCATTTTTTTGGGTGTTTTCGTGAGGGATCCCCCTTTCATTCTATGATATTTAAGTCTGGGGTGCATCAAGATTTTTCATACTTTTAAAGGGTGCTGTGACTTTTAAAAAAAAGGATGAGAAACGCTGGGGCAGATACACTAGCAGATTTAGATGGACTTGACTAACAAATTGAAATCAGAACTCCAGCTAACACTTTTTAAGCCGTTACAGTCGCAGTTTTGTTTTTCCTTTTGGGATAAAGGTTTTACATAGATGTATAAAAGGTGACCATCGTAGGCACCCCTGTCAGTGTTAAATGGTTTGTCAGAATTGCCACTTTTGCTGGACAGCTGTAGTCTGTTAAAGAAAGTTGCAAAAAACACTTATTGGCTGGATCACGAGGTAAAAATAAAGGGAAGAAAAGACTAAAAAAAAATGCAACCTCTACCGATTGAGTCACTAGCCTAGAATAAAAGTGTAGATTTCTGACTTTGGTCTGATGTTTGTAATCTGGACGTTGGTTACAGGTCTTGCTTTTTTAGGAGTTCAGCAATGACGGTCCTGTTTTTCTTCCATGTCAGGATAACTTGAAAGTGTACTTCTGGGCAAATAACATTCAAAAAAATAAAACAGCAGGAAGATGTGCATTCATTGCAGAGATGTACTCCTTTTTTTTTTATTTTGCCAGGCATACACTTTTAATATTATATGTATATGTAATTATATATTTTAAATAACATTGTGTCTGCTCCAGATCTACAGTGAGGGATGGAGAAGGAGGGGATGAGTTTCTTAAACAGACACTGTCAACTTGACCATGCAGAGCAAAGTGACAGTATCTCTGCCAAGGCCAACACCCTTATACTCTCCTTGCCCATGCAGAACAAAGTGACAGTATCTCTGCCAAGGCCAACACCCTTATACTGTTGTTGCCCATGTAGAGAAAAGTAACAGTATCTCTGCCAAGGCCAATCCCTTTATACTGTCGTTGCCCATGTAAAGCAAAGTGACAATATCTCGGGCCAAGGCCAACCCCTTTTATAGTCTCCTTGCCCATGCAAAGCAATGTTACAGTATCTTTGCCAAAGCCAACCCCCTTATAGTGTCGTTGCCCATGTACAGCAAAGTGACAGTATCTCTGTCAAGGCCGACCCTCTTACACTCTCCTTGGCCATGCAGAGCAAAGCGAGTGTGTTTCTACCAAGGCTGACCCCTTTATACTCTCCTTGCCTGCACTTCTTCGCCAATCCTTCCTCTCCATCACAGCCAGGCAGCTTTATGCAGCGATTTCTCCTTTGCAGCCAAAGACACTACCTAATGATTCGGGTATGAAGAAGTATGTGACCTGCTCCAGTGTGACAATGTTTGGGTCTAGCAGCCAGTTTCTAGGCCTGAGCACTTTCACATAACTCAGGGATGATCTCACTGATCCTCCAGGTCACTGACACAGCTGATTTTTTTTTTCCTGGTTGCCATGGAGGGAGGAGCAGAGAGAGAGCGCAGACAAGGTCAGTATAAAGCTGGCCACACACCTATAGATTATCTGCAGATTTTCTATGGTCAGATGGAAAAAGTGCAACAGATTCCTCCATCTACGCTAAACTGTGAGAATGGAGGAATCTCCCACTGGGCCAAGCTTCAGTATCTTGCTAGTCGGCCCCGCTGGCTGTCAAAATACCTGAACAATGCCTGCATCCAATTAGATTGTTCAGGTACATGGCCAGCTTTAGATGATCCTTGTAGGTGTGCTAACAGGATATATGAAGCAACTGGGTAAGCTCAGGGTAAAAACTTGACATTTTATTAGTTATTTTAAACATTCATAACAATGCCTTTTTCATTTTACACACAAGCACTTTTAAAATGCAACATAGTGCTCAAGGGTGTAGTTAAATGTAAGCCAGTTGACAATCAAATGTAGAGCAATTACTGTTTACCTTGTGTTCTTACTCTCTTGTGAAGTCTGTAATCTGGTGTAGTTTATGCATTTATTTGTGTTTGCAGGAATAGACTGCTGCATGTGCCTTTGAAACACTATCAGGTCAGCTGCTCTGACTGGTTGTTGAAGGTCATCTGTGGTGGGGTAGAAATCCGTACTGTCTATGCCTCCCATCGGAAAGCCAAAGTTTGCCTTATCTCTCGTATCAGCAGCGTCCGTGCTGGTGCCAGGTTCCAAATCCGTGGAGTAGATGATGATGGACATGTTTCTAACTTTGTTGAAACGGAGCAGGTATTGTTTACTTTTTCTTTTACACTTAACAATATGAATCTTACAAGCTGGTATAAATTATCTTATTTAAAGCCCCATTCTGTGATAATTTGTCCTACCTCCCCTAGTCTCTAACCCATACTGCAGGGTATTTTTTTCTTGTCATTGAAGCAAGTTATACCCACTTAAGTCTCCCATCTGGGACCCTCCCCATTGCCATATTCAAGTGCAGGGGACTGCTAATCCAGCGATGCAGATGCGCCCAAGACCGCTGGTCCCCTACTGTCCCCTTGCGTGACATCACTCCTCTTCTTAAACCTGAGAGGTCCCTCCTACTGGACAACCAACAGGAAGTGTCCATGTCATGCAGACAATGACATTGACCCCCAATGAAGGAACCCACGGTTTTCATTCAGCTGACAGAGGAGTGGGAAAATGTTCCTGGAGATTGGCTTTAAATCCAGCACAGTGACGATATCCTGCTGTTTTTTTTTGTGATTCTTCGGCTCTGTTTCTCAATTGTGCTCCTTCTTTTTTTTTTTTTCACTCTGTTACACGGGTTTTCAGTGGAGAATACAAGTGGCTATGTAGGCATGGCCCACTGGGGTCATCAACAAAAAACCCACCAAGGAATTGCAATGCATGTATGTTGACAGGAAGTGGTTGCAAGGAGTCTGCAGATCAGCAAGACTGAGATGTTACAAATGTGAACACGAGTGTTTTTCCATGGCTATTGTTTTTGATATCAGTTCACAAATATTAACACCCCACTTTTATATCATCCACCTACTCCTGGGTTGCCAGATACCAATAATAGTACTCCAGCAGCCACACTTTCACTTACACACAAATACCCATCAGATTAAGCGTTCTTTAGAAACATTTCTGAAAGTCTACAAACACCTTCCATTCTTCGTTTCTCTAGGTGAATGCCTGCTGATTGAAGCAGTTCAGAACGGATGTGACCGCTGTAACACCTGTGCCCGTCTAGTTTTACCAGACTCATGTTGTTGTATGAGGAGTCGGATGTAGGTTGTAAAAGGACATATGCCACGAGCAGGTTCACTAAAACGGAACTCTGTTCCGTTTTGGTTTTCCAGACCTGCTGGAGTTGGGGATAACCGGATGTAAACAAACACACCACCGTTTAGATCTGGCTGCACGTAGAGTAACATCAGGCTTCCGTTCTGATCTGCCTGAAAACCTGACGGGTAGACCTGATCAGAATGCCTGTGTGAAAGGGCTCCAACTGTTTTTACTTTGTTTAAAGTGACCCTATACTCAGGAGTTACATTTTAAAAATGCTTTCAATTACCCTAACTAAATGTATCTTATTTGTGTATCACTCGGTTATAAATTTCAAATCATGTCTGAATTTGTGCGGATTGGCAGAGGTTGTGTACATCGCTCGCCGTGATTGGCTCAGCGCGTTATACTGTATGTAGCCAAAGCTACCGTACATACAGTATTACCGCACATCCAGCGGGCTGACAGATTAGCCTCCCTGGATGTCTGATTTATTTTTTATTATTTTTCCTTTTTTTGTTCTATTTTTTTTTTTTTACTTTTAAAATCCCCACCGGTTCCGCTCCCCTGCGACGCGGACACTCGCAAGGGATGGAAGACGGAGGACACAGCGGGGATCGTGGACAAGGTAAGAGACGCTAAACTGTAATCCCGAGTGTGACTCTGGGTTACGGCTTATGGTATTGAAAATTAACCCCGAGCCACACACGGGAATACCGCCAAGGAGGTTAGTGGGTGTATTTAAACATTATTTTGGGCTATACTCGTCTTATATGACGAGTATAACCCAAAACCTATGTTTTAACAGAAAAATTAGCCCGCCCCTCAGCGATGATCGCAAGTACGATCTGCCTGTCCAAGATGGGCTGATCATACGAGCTTTTAATTACTTTACAACCATCGCACTACTCAAGTCGTGCGATGGTTGTAAAGTGTATGGCCAGCTTTAGTCTGAAGTACTGAAGCATGAATCAGCCAAGCAACTAGGAAGCAGCTGGCAATAGTAGTTGTATATGCAAATAACTTCTGCACTAAGTGCAACAGATAAACAAAACAACTATACCTACTGTATATCTATAGCTACCAATGCAAAATAAGTATTGTGCTCAAATCAACAAATAATAATAAACTGTGTAGCACTAAATCTTGTGTACTATAAAAGTGCTCTGTGCAAAAATAAGTAAAAGTGCATCCTCGTACATGCTAACATTCATCAAATGTTATATAAAGTGCCTCACATAAACTTTATTTACTCTTATTGTTTTTTTTAATAGATGCTGTTTATTAGATTTTTAATTCTTTAAAAAAAAAATTCCATGTCTAGAATCAGTTAGTACATTTATTAACAAATATCCCACAAAATTGAAAAAAATAAAAAGAATAACCAAACAGAATAACCATATAGTGTGGCAAATAATGATTTGATCCCCTGCAGATTTTGTAAGTTTGCTCACTTGCAAAGAAATGAAAGGTCTATACTTTTTATCATAGGTGTATTTTAAATGATAGGTTCTCATCCAATATTTTACAATGCATGGCCCCATCCATTGGCCCCTCAATGGTTTGTTTGGTGACTGTGGTCCCAACTGCCTTGAGATCATTCACAAGCTCCTCCCGTGTAGTTCTGGGCTGATGATCCCTCACTTTTCCCATGATCATCCTTACCCCATGAGGCGAAATCTTGCATGGAGCTCCAGACTGAGGGCGATTGCTGGTTATTTTGTATTCCTTCCATTTGCGAATAATCGCTCCAACAGTTGTTTCCTTCTCCCCAAGCTTCTTTCTGATAGTCTTGTAACTAATTTCAGCCTTGTGCAGGTCTACAATCATGTCCCTAACGTCCTTTGACAGCTCTTTGGTCTTGCCCATGGTGGTGAGGTTTGAATGGAAGAAAGAGATTCTGTGGACAGGTGTCTTTTATATACATAACAAGTTGTCGTTAGGAGCACCTTCTTAAATTGACAGGACTAGACTTTGTACCACATAACCAGTCTGTGGAAGCCAGAATTATTGTTGGTTGGTAGGGGATCAAATACAAATTTTACTCACTGAACTGCAACTCAATTTATAACATGTATTTTTTCTGGATTTGTGGTTGATATTCTGTCTCCATCATTTAAAATACACCTATGATACAAATGATAGCCCTTTCATTTCTTTGTAAGTGGGCAAACTTACAAAATCTGCAGGGGATCAAATAATTATTTTCCTCACTGTATATGTTACATAAACAAAAAAAACACTAGCAAAAAAAGAAAATCACTCTTATTGTTAATCAACTGGGTCAGTTCAGTGCAGCCATTGACAAATATTTAATTTCTCTTTCCAGACAATATATGTAGATGATAATGATGTATCGTCCTTCATTCAGATCAGGGGATCCGCCCCGTTATTCTGGGAACAAACAGGGCTACAGGTAAAGTATATTGATATACTGTCTCAAAATAAATTAAAGCCTGGAGGTTTAATATCTTCTTGACAATGAATTTTTCAAGGAATGTGATCTATTACTGTCAGGGAGACAATTATTTTTATTGTCTACCGAGTAAAGCTTATGCTTTTTTTTTTTTTTTGTCAAAACAGATAGCCTTATTAGTAGCCAAATAAATACGGTTGTTCGAAAATCAGGAAATATGTGCTAAAATATACTAACCCAAATGTTTCCCTTGGTAACTTGCAACTTATAACTATTCTTCACAAATACATAGGTTTATTAAGTACAAGAACACAAAGTAGATCAGTCTTGTCACTTATGTGACACATTAATGGTATCTTGTACATTTTATTTTTAAAATCTTATCTTTCTCATTAACATTTCATAGTGTTACTAAGCAAGATAAAGTGAAGATCTTGGCGCTCTGGTTAGAAAACATAGAAAACAGCTCATGTTCATTCTGGGCCCTTCATTTCTTCTATACCTTCCCAAATTTGCTATTGGTCAATGAGGCCACCCATCATAGTGATGAACCAGAAAGGAGGTGGTGGATCAGAGCCAATGAGTGCGGGAGCTGGTTAAAGTGACACTAAACTCAGGAGTTAAATCTTAAAAATGCATTCAAGTTCCTTAACTATTAACATGAATGTAATTTATTTGTGTATTACTCTGCAGAGATGATTTGAAGATCTACTCGGCTGTAGATCTTCAAATCATCTCTGAATTTGTGCTGACACTGTCCTTCCTTCTTGAGGGTGGCTACTTTTGTTCCCCATGGTCCCTGTGTGTGTTATAGAGTAGCCACCACTCCAAGCTCACTCCCGTGATGACCTACAATCTTTGACTACACACTACAAGTTAGTAAACGAAATGTGAGATTGTAGTCCATCATAGGAGTGAGCTTGGAGCGGTGGCTACATTACAACACACACAGGGACCATGGGGAACAAAAGTAGCCACCCTCCAGAAGGAAGGACAGTGTCAGCATGAATTCAGAGAAGATTTGAGGATTTACAGCTGGGTGATACACAAATAAGCTATATTTTTTTATTAATAGTCAAGGTACTTAAATGCATTTTTGAGATTCAAAGCTGAGTTTTGTGTTATTTTAAGTACAGAATAGTAAGAGGAACATTTTCTCCTTCACACATCGGCTCTTCATGAGTCATTTCCTTGTATCATTTTGGCTCTTAAAATTACCAGGGTTATCCAAAAAAAGGTGAAGAGTTTGGAGAAGTAAGGAGAAGTCAGGAGAAGTGAACAATCTAGGACAAAATAACTGATTTGGAAAAATTCTCCAATTCAGCTCACTTTCCAGATCAGCTCTGTTGTCCTAGATTGCTCAGTTCTCCTGCCTTCCCCAAACACTTCACCCTTTAGTGTATAGCCCTGTGAATGTTCATTTTCTCAAGCAAGTCCAATTGGACTGGTTATCTTTACGTTTGTAGGGATCCACTTTCCCTTTGACACACAAACCTGCCCTCTTTTTCGACAGACATTTAAAGTGACATTAAACTCTTTTTTTTTTTTACATATATCTACTAGCTAGAAAGCAGTAGATATATGCAAAAGCATTTAAAAAAAATAAAAAAGTTACCAAAGAGGTAAAAACTTACCTCCGTCTTCGCCACTCGCTCCTGGCTGAATTTCTGAAGCTTCTCAAGTGGCCGCGCAGGATGATGGGCCGGGCGCATGTGCAGTGGAGATCACTGGCAGGGAGAGGAGGAGTGCTACAGTGTAAGTCAATGTATGCAGCCCTGAACATGCACGTCGGACAGACTCTGTGGGACAGGAAGAGACCGCAGTCTGCGCTGGATCAGAGACTGGCACCAGCGCTGGAGCGACTGCTGAAAACCACTGGAAGGAAGAAAATGTTCGGCTCAAGAGGCCTCACTTAAGGTAAGCCCCTAAAGCAGCATGGGGGGGAGGGATTGACATTAATGTCACTTTAAGTTTTAATTATTTAAAATAGCTGACATGTTTTAATGCTAGGCAAATAAAAAACCTTAAGAACAAAATATGAAGGGTTAGTTACAACTATATGAACAGGGTTTGAACCATTCCTCTGAACCAATTAGGGCTTCTGGAGATGTGGTTTTTACTCAATGAAAGTATGTCTTTTTTCAGACTAGCTATGGAACTAAGCCAAGAGAACGTGAGTAGATGGTAAATATGTAATATGGTACTACTGCAAAAGGGAGCCTACTGTCATGCTCACCAATATTGAAAGTCTGGTATATTTCTACAGATGGCTCTCTAAAGCCTTAGATTGTTCATGGAGGCTATGACTTACTATGAAACAACTACACTTTCCTGTGATACATTTTTAGTTGTGTAATAAGTCATCATTTTCCTGGAGATGATTTCCAAAACACAGATCTGGGAACTCTGCTGGCAGCTATGTAGTATATGTGCATAAGTTCAGTTCTTGAGTTTATATTTCTTTTTTCTGTGTATTGCCTTTACATCATATTCAGGCATCATATACATCAACTGCCAAACTGAAACCTTGTGTTCCAATATTTAATCTAGCAAAAAGTTTTCCTGGCACATTCACAGGCTAGCATGTAAAAAAAACTTGTCTCACACTAAGGTTAAAAACAGAGGTTTGGATGCACGTCTTCTGCAGAAAATGTGAAAGCCGCACAGCCGCGCCAAGGCACCTCTTATAGTGCAGTCCTAACTCTAAACTATCAGAGCCTCCATCTTGGAGCACATGGGGCAGAAGATAAGATTGGGTGCGGGTTTGTCAGTAGGAAGCCCAACCCCCTTAAAGGCACAGAGACGCACAAGGGATCCCGCACATCCCAATGGCAGCTGAGACCCCCCATGCATCACTGCACCAAAACAGTCAAGCAAAACAGATGACAAACGCACTCATCAATTCGTCACCAGCTATACAGTAAGGTGTACACGGAATGGGCTTTAAACAGTAAAATAGCAAAAAGTTTTCCTGGCACACTCACAAGCTAGCTTGTAAAAAAACTTGTCTCCACACTAAGGTTAAAAACAGAGGTTTGGATACACGTCTTCTGCAGAAAATGTGAAAGCCGAACAGCCGCACCAAGGCACCTCTTATAGTGCAGTCCTAACTCTAAACTATCAGAGCCTCTATCTTGGAGCACATGGGGCAGAAGATAAGATTGGGTGCAATATTTAATCTGACATTTTTTATCTGCGCTTAAACAAGATCAGCCGTTGAATCCAGTTTGTAGTTTATATAATACACCTCTTGTTGTGTAAATGATGTCTCTGTTTGTTAACATGCTACTCTTAAGTCCTGCAAATATTTCTAGATGAGCTAAATCATTTACTATAAGGCATAAGGGGCACTTGATGTTTTTATTCTACATATGTTATGTGCTAAAAATGAACAAGCGGTTGCATACTGTAAAGAAAGCTGTAGTTGGAGAAAATTGCTCCTACATAAGCCATTTTCCCTAATTGCAACATATTAAATATATATTTACCTGCCTGGAAGAAAAGAACGGCGTGTAACATAAGTAGAACATATCGTTCTTTCAGGCAGGCATGGATTTATGTATTACAACATGTAAGAAGCTTACCTGAAAACCCCGACAAATCCTTCTATAATTATGGCTGTAATAACAGCTTCTAGATTTTGAAAGACACAAAGACGACGTGATTTTATTTTTTATTTTTTTGCTTAATTGCATGACTGTGATGTCACTCTTTTTTTTTCATCATTAATATTTGGCAGAATACATTGTGACAATGTAAATCATACAATGTTCAGAAGTGAGTTAAAGCGACTGTCGCTATATAAAAGTTACTAAGGCAAGATTTAGCAGTAAAAAAAAGGATGAATATTTACCTTCTGGGATTGTTGATCTCCTGGGTCCCCCACATCTCTAACTGGGTCCCCCACATCTCTAACTGGGTCCTCCTGCTAACCATCACCTAATTACTGTATCCTCTAATAATGTGGATGCTAGCAGGAGGGACCAGGGAGAGCTATGTGAGAGCCAGGAAAGTGTTGGTGTCCCAGGACACAATTTCTCAGGATCTGAGTGCCATTTGGAGGTGTGGCGGTCTATTTACAGTCCTATTTTATAGGTAAATCTTGCTTTGCCTTGGTAAACAATTAAGACATAACATAAATGTGTGCAGTATGTACAGTTGGGGTCTGTTTATAAACCATTTACAGGGCCATTAACCCTGCAAATATCTGTGAACATTTTCTCTAGGTGAATATATAAAAAGAACATTTAAAAGTGCAGCAATTTTTGGGAATGTTTACATGTAAATAATTCCAAAATGTTGCAATATGGCCACCAGATGGTGCATATGAGATAAGTATTTCATTTCTATACTCATTGGCACCATCTACTGGCCATAATGTGGTATTACACGGGGGGAAAACATTCGAAAATACATTGCCTTGTAAAGAATCAACTAAAAATTGTTTGTTTTGGCATATATCTGCAAGGAATGAGCATTCACTGATATTCACAGGGTGAAGGGCTCTGTGAACAGTTTATAAATAGACCCCATGGTGTACAAATCGTCCCCATGCCTGTGAGTCCATCGAGTTCAACCTATAGAGGGAAGAAAGACACAGACAAAACACGTATTCCAAAAACAAACATTCAGCACTCAAAGTATCCCAAAAAGAAGCACAAAGGCAATGTTTTAACGCCACTTAGTTCCAGCCACTTTGTTCACCAGCCTCTGTGTTCCTAGATTTTATTTTATGACATCAGTGGGACTGATCATGTGACAGTGTCAGGAAGACCCTCCTACTCAGCAAGTAGGACGCAGCTACAGGTAGTAGGAAGTGCGTACAATTCTTGTATAGAGTCTAATACATACAGCAACAAGTAGGACTGTGCAATGAGGTTTGCTAAAAATCCTTTGAAAGCATGTCACTGACCAGGAGGGAATATTGTTGTTTTTCAGTAAAAGTGTTTACATTGTTAAATGAGCAAAGGGTTAATCGCTGTGCAGAAACTGTCCCCAGAATTCTCTTTCTGGTCACATTCTATAAGTGGAAGATTCTTTGAAGTATTATAATCATGGCCTCTACATTCTGAAGTTAACATAAATAATATATGATATGCTTTATAATAAATTATAGCGTTTATCTTATTCTCTCTGTTGCACTGCTCACTTTCAGATCAGGCTAAATTTCACAAATTCCATTGTTACAGGTTGGCTCCCATCATCTTAAGCTCACTAGAGGACTGGAGGCCAATGCACCAGCGTTTGACAGGTATGGACGTTCGAAAACCCTTAGAACAATGAATATTACAACAAGATACAAATACATTTCCTGCAGAAATACATGTAGGGATATAAAATAAACACCATGAAAGCCATGTTTTATATGGCTTTCATAATCTGCATATCTGTTTTTACGCGTTCTTTTTCTGTCCTCGCTCAGGACACTTCACTAAGTTTTTGCTGTTAGTTTTTTTAAATTTATAAATAATTTTTGCATTATGAACCCTCCCATGTTTTTTGTGGCTAGCTATCTCCCGTGGTATGCTGACATGGGGTGAGCCAGGAATACGGAAAATTGTTATCAATACTGTAATTTTCCTTTCCTGGCTGTCCCCCATGTCAGCATAGGTTCCCTCCCTGGTAGTGTCTTCGCTTGGCGTGTAATGGAACGCGTGGTGAGTGGAGCAGGGGGGATTTATCATCTAGTGAAGGTGGCCCTACTTGGGGTTGAAGGTGGAGCTTACCCGTGGTATGCTGACATGGGGGAGAGCCAGGAAAGGAAAATTACGGTAAGTATTGATAACAATTTTCCGTAATATATATATCCATGCACATTGATGAGATTATTTATATCAAGTGGATTGCTTCATTTTATTTAGCTTTACACTTGATATAATGTTATTACTATGCACCTTTTATAGGGGGTTTTGATTTATGTGTACATTGTATTTGTATTCCTAATGCTGTTAAACCTGAGACTACATTCCAATTCTTCTTAAAAAAGGAGTAAAAGTTCATTGTTTTTTTTCCCAGCACAGCCTAGATGTGCATATTATTCTACCAGGCTCAGTAAGGTCATGTTCCACAGGCAGGTTAATGAAGCTTTATGTATCTCCTTGCATTGGAGATGGCAGCGTTCCCAGGAAGATAACCATTGATTAAATCTTGTGCACAGTGTTCTTTTTAAATACGGTTGCTAGGTCGTTTATTTCAGCTTTCAGAGTTTGACTTATGTATTCAGTTCTATTTCTTTTATTTGTATGACTAAAACAAAGGAATCAAAAAGAAATCAGGGTAAAGTAATAGAAATGTAATGATCCAAATGTACTTTCTATTTAGAAAAGAATGATGATATTATGGGAACACGTATATGCTTGATTCCATGGCAGCATCAGTTTAGTAACAGAAGAGGATATTTTATCAAAGTATATTTTAACTCAAGCACAAAAATGTAATATATTACAGCTTACCAGTCCTTAGATGTGGTGGCTTCTTTAGTTTTCAGTACAGAAAATACCTGTTTATTTTGCCAGAAATCAAATGCCCTTGTAACTTTTTAACTGCTTTTAAACTAAAATCTCAAACAATGTTTTTAGCCTCCTTCTGTAAATGACTCCTCTATCTTATGGAGATGCGGGAAGGGGGGAAGTGTGCTTGTAGTCCAAATCCAGAGAGCAGCCTAGGGTGACAACACTGCTCCTCCATATTTTAAGTACAGTGAGGGAGTGTTGTCATTAGTTCTAACAGTGTGTTACTGTTAGAACTAATGCAGCCACTATATCTAAGGACAGGTAAGCTGCAATATATTAATTTTTTATAAATGTGTTTGTTTAATTATGCTTTAATAAACAATCCATCTTCTTGTTGTGATTTGAGCATATTAAGTTATACATAGTGTTTTAATGCATACAGTGGGCCTTATTTATAAAATACAGAGCTAAACAATATTGGATTTTGGCCTACATAGTAAATCAGATTTCAGCTGTTATTTATGTAATTATCCTACTGAATAGTGTGTATGTATGTATGTATGTATGTATGTATGTATGTATGTATGTATGTATGTATATATATATACAGGTGAAACTCGAATAATTAGAATATCGTGCAAAGTTCATTTATTTCACTAATGCAACTTAAAAGGTGAAACTAATATATGAGATAGACTCATTACCTGCAAAGCAAGATAATTCAAGCCGTGATTTGTCATAATTGTGATGATTATGGCTTACAGCTCATGAAAACCCCAAGAACCCCAAATCCACAACCTCAAAAAAGTAGATTATTACATGCAATCAATAAAACAAGGATTGTACATAGAACAATATCGGACCTCTGAAAAGTACAAGCATGCATATGTACTCAGTACTTGGTTTGGGCCCCTTTTGCAGCACTTACTGCAATTACTTTTGCACGATATTCTAATTATTCGAGTTTCACCTGTGTATATATATATATATATATATCGATGGGGGAGCCCTCCGCACACCTTGCAGCAGTCCCGGCCAATAAGAAAAAATGGTGCTCGCAGTGATAACCACGGATGGCACCGTGCATATATATTCAGAATAAAATATTCTTATTCAAATGTGTTTTTCTAGACACATGATGCTTTTAAAAGAACAGTATGGCAAGCAAGTGATTGTAAATCTTTTGAGGAGCAAAGGAGGAGAAGAGGTTCTAAGCCGTGCCTTTAAGGTAATATGACAATACATATTTATAAATAGATTGGTACATTTGGTAACGTCAACTATTATCAAGTGTATAATAAATTAATTTGGTACATTTAAGGAAAAAAAATGCTTGTCTGCAATTTGTTGATTTAGTGTCTAAATATAAAGTTTAAATAAACTGACAGATAAGCAAACTGGAGAGGTTTGTACAAGATGTAGGCTCTTAATGAAAACTTTTGTATGCTTTTCATTTTTTCCATTGTATATATATATATATATATATATATATATGTAATTCTACATCTGACAATTATAGTGTTAAACGGATGCACATTGTGCCTTCAGGCTGTATCTGCATTGCCATCTGCACACTGAGGTTTTATTTTGTCAGTGAACCCTCCAGCCTGCATGTAATCACTATGTCATTGCTCAATAAATACTCTGGTTGTGGATCGTTAATGGGGAGCTGCACTGTCAGTGACAGATGGATTTGGGGCATCATGCTAAGGAACGTTAATATAGGGATGTTGGGAAGGAAGAGGTCAAATGGTTTCATTTCCTAATAGACTGATTAGGTTTAAGAGAAAGTAATATAGTCGTCCTCTGAATTATCTGATTTGTACTTTTTATTTCATTTATTATCTAAGCAGGTTTCCTGGTGTAGTAAGTGTAACATAAGAGAGGTTAAATATCTCCAACTACACCATTCTAGACAACTCTAAATTGTAAATCTCTGCAGATATAATTTATGCCCCCAATATGGTTCAAATGAAAAAAAGCTTACACACACACACAGTTAAAAATAATTAAAAGTTACATTTACTTATCTTCGATACAGTTGACTATAGAAATAGAAGTCTTGGCATCAACCCAGTCAATTTCTTAGCAAGTTGAAAAAGAAGACTGATTGGTAGCGCACTCCTGGGGGGGGTGTTTGTGGTATGTCGTGGCCGTTGTGCCGCGCCTTGTGTTGTTAGACCGGGGTGTCTAACTATGTGCAGAAGAACGGAAAGAAAGGGAGGGAAGGAGCGCAACTGACTGTCGGTGCCAATGAGTTGCGCTCCTTCCCTCCCTTTCTTTCCATTGCTGGTGCGGATTGGTAGCGCCCTCCTGGGGGGTGGGGAGGGGGGGGGGCTGTTTGTGCTATGTCGTGGCCATTGTGCAGCTCCTGGTGTTGTTAGACTGGGGTGTCTAACTATGTACAGATGAATGGTAAGAAAGGGAGGGAAGGAGTGCAACTGACTGGCACCGACTTTGGAAAGACAGTGGTTCACCTGAACCACTGTCTTTCCAAAGTCGGTGTCAGTCAGTTGCGCTCCTTCCCTCCCTTTCTTTCCGTTCAATTTCTTAGCAAGGCACATGACTTACAGCCATTTGTTGCATTGCAGGTCAAATGCCCAAGCCTTTGTCCTTTCAAACTTCTAGTGCACTAATGTCTTTTTCCTTTAGCATAGGCAAGATTAAGTTGAGAATAAGGTTGGAATATGTTCGGTTACATAAGGTGAACTTATTATTATTGCAGTTACATGCGGTGTGAGTAGAGTGTTGCACAGGGTAATCAGGCACTGGTAAGCCTATGGCTCTGTTGACTGCAGGCGCCCATAATAACTTCTATTTTCCACTGAAACACAATATGATTGTATGTTTCATGGAAATATGTGTGGTGATGGTTGATTGCTTTGCCTAGTGTACATGCACTATATTATCATGGTAGGGTAGGTAGGGCATATTCAAAATAGGAGTGATATGGTCAAACAAAGTAAAATTGGGGGAAGAGTGTGCTTAGCTTATTGACTGGTCTTAAAACATAACTCCAGTTAATATGAAAATATGCAGCCAAGTATGTAAAATCAAATTAAGAAGTAGCTTTCGCTGCAGTGTTCACCTTCAGTCCGGCACGCTCTCCACAGAAGTTCTACAACTCCACCTGAGGGCGCTCCTTTTCTGGATTTAATGTTGGCCAGCATCATTCATCCAACTTCCTCTGAGCCAAGGCTATCATGGACACACCTCTTTAGGTAGCATAGTCATGCCAACCTGGGCTCAGAATACTAGCGCATTGAATGGTACTCTAGACAAGAAGAATGATCTGTAAACTCACTCGATTAGCCGGATGACTGCAGTAATAATGGTGTATATATCAGGGACGTGCGGTTAGGGGAGGCAGGTGAGGCAGAGCCTAACCTAGTATTATGGAAGAAAAAGCTGTCAGCTTCAAGTCTAAAGCTGACAGCTTTTTTCTACATTCAGATCGGCTTGCAACAGGTTACACAGAAGGGAAAGCCTCCCCATTGTGTAAACTGTCATGGATGGAGCACTGCCTTTTAATTACAGGCCGCGCTGCATCCTGCTTTTGACAGGTAGTTAGGTTTCACAGCAGCGGGTTTCACAGCAGTGGGCTTCCCCACTGCTTGTGTAACCTAACTAGTGAGGCAAGAGCTGTCACAGCCTCTATTGTTTGTTAGAGGCATGAGCTTTGTGGATGGTTTGGACCAATGGCAATCCGATATTGGTCCAAGCTGTCCAATTAAAAAAAGAAAGAAAAACCCACTGTGGTCATCAATCTCAATGCCTTAGCAGTGAGGAGCAAATGAGGGTTCCTCCCTGTCTCCTTCACACTAGACGGGGCTTCGTCGGGATGGGATTGGGGCTTTGGTGGGATATGGGTGGGGCTTCTGCGTGCTGGGGGCAGTGCTGGGTGCGAGGCTGGGGAATGCCTCACCAAAAAGCGAAGGTACGGCATGTCACTGGTATATATGCCTTATTTTTAAGTGCAGGAGGCCTGTGGAAAGGGATAGAGAGCTGGGGTAGGGTCATTCAAGATATAATTTTGCTTTAATACAAGTGGACTTTGTAATACACTTCGTGAATACTCTTGGTAAGCAGCAAAAAGTTTTAGTTCAATTTAATGAGGTGGAGTGCCAATCAAATGGTGTTCTCAGAGGCAAAAGTCCAAAATACTCAAGGTCCCTCAGTACGACTAAAATGAGTGATTCTGGACTTTGCCTCCCTCAACATCATTTGATTAGCACTCCATGACCTCATTATATTATTAAAAAATGTAAATGACCTCTTTCTGGAACTTTCACAATGATTTTGATCTGCTTTTGTTCCAGCCCTTTTTATTCCACACATATGTGTTTTATTAACTATACTTTCTCTTTCCTGTAGAAGCTACTATGGGCATCTCAGCATGCAGAAGATGTGCCAATGATTGATTTTGATTACCACCAGATTGTCAAAGGAGGAAAAATAGAGAAGTTGGAAAACTTGCTAAAACCCCAGTTAAACCTAAACTTGGAAGAGTTTGGGGTGTTTACAAAAGGAGAGAATCTACCTAAGCGGTAAGTATTTGTGTCTTTTGGCAAAAAGAAAAGTTCCTTTATGCCACATTTCCAACTATATGGCTGGAATTTGTGTGGGACAAGACATGAGAATAAGCAGTTCTAGAAAGTGGGTGAATCTGGGCCAAGGGCAGTTTTAAGGAGGCTTGTACTATTGAGATGGCTTGAGAATTGCTATCATTATCCTGAGCTAGCTAGGTAGAAGATAAAATTAATAGGAATAACTCTATTCCTTCCTGTACTCTTCCTCACTACTCTGAAGGAAGCATCACTCTCTGGTCATGGAGGACCTCCGCACTCATCATCGTGTGTACTTTGATATTAACACCAATGCTGACACTGACCCTGTTCTGATGTGGGCAGCACATAAACCATTCATTAGAGGCCTTTTTATAAAGTCATACAGAATACTGTACAGATAATGTATTATGACAAAACAAGTAATCTGGCTGATCAATTCTGTATAAAGACACAAGCATGTTGTCATGTCAGTTTTCTATGATGACTCTTGCTGCCCTCTTTAAACAAAGAACTTATAAAATACAAAAAATCATTGCATGTACAAATACACATGCTATATCTCCAAAGTACTTGTATTTTTACGTGCAATGATTTTCCTGTTTAGACATGTTATTAGACACTAGAGACATGATAACCGGGTCCCCCAGATATACTGAGCATTTGCTCTAATTTCTATTGTTTTTAATGTGTGTTCCGTGTTGATGTTTAACACTCTTTGCATTAAAATGTTATATTTTGGATATGTTTTTGTTGGTTATATGGTTAATATTTTACTGTATATTCAAATGGTGGCAGCACTAGTGTTAGGTTTATTTATGTATAATTTACATGGTGGTTATTCCTCCACTTTTATGCAGCTTTGTGTTATTTTCTTTTCTCTTTTTATGTTTGTATGTGTCTGTAAAACTGGGGGAAAAAATGATCTCAAATAAAAACCTGATGTAAAAAAAAATATTGGGAATGTTTCCTAACAGGGTGCAGAAAGGAACCTTTCGAATAAATTGTCTAGACTGCTTACATCGCACCAACGGTGTGCAAGCCTACATTGCACTTGAGGTTGGTATATTTTAAGAGGTTTTACTGACAGCATTGGCATTGTAACTAAAAATGTATTTCCAATTATCTTAAAATAAAATGTGTTGAGGCCTATAAAGAGACATATAGATTAGACCACATAGAATCTTACAAATCGAATAGGATTTTTCTACTTCTGAACCTAAATTCGGGTGATTTTTTTTATTTTGCAGTTTCATTTTACAAAGAAAGTTGCTGGTTTGATCTGTAAGCCCCGTTTCCCTACAGGGCACAGTAGTGATATAGGGGCCAGTGGAATGAACCACAATGCTCAGTCAACCCGGTGACCTCCAACACACCAAGAAATGTGTCTGTGCATTCCTGTGCTGGTGCCGATTGTTGCCATTTTTCTCATGGTGTAACAGGACCAAAATTTGAAGTAAAAGCTCCCCAATGGAGTCACGGATGCCAATAAGAAGCTGACACAATATTTGACACTAATGATGACAAAAGTATTGGCTAGATTTGGGCTTTAAGTCTAAAGATGAGACAGTATGCATCTGTTGGTTGATCGAAAACACATTTGAGGATTGTTATAAAACATGTTCATTCCTTTGTGTAGGTTCTGCGAACCCAGCTCGAGAGTCTTGGTTTAGATGATATGAAATCTGTCATAGAGCGCTTTGAAGAGTCCTACAAATCTATGTGGTCGGTTAATGGTCATAACCTGAGCATGATATTCACGGGAAGCAGAGCCCTGGAGGGCAAAGCTAAGGTATGCACTATCAAACCTGGAACTATAAAATAAACTTGAACATGTACCTCAAACTCACGGATCATATTTATGAAGTAGTAAGTAGGACATTCACCAAATATTCAATGCAGGTGAATCTTCCTTATGTATGTGTTTTAAATTGCAAGGAATGATTAAGCATCTGTGAATCTTTGGTGAATCTCAATATACTTTAGAATCTGACCTTGGCGATCTGGTGCATTGCTTTAAATTATGTACGTTAGTGAAATATTTTTCATGCATTAATGTGCATGAATAGGCTGGTAAGTCAACAAAACATCCAAAAAAGGGGCATGCACCATTTTTGGCAACAGGAGATTGAAGAAGTCACTGGCACATCAGTTTTTACTTCACTGTTCCGTCTTTATCGATGTTGATTAGTCATAATATCACATTGAAAAGTAATGTTTTAGAAGGTTCTTTCATCATGCAAACGGTTTGTTTAACTTTGTTCGCCTGATGAAGGAACCTATGTGGTTCCAAACATTGCTTTTCAATGTGATGTTACGACTATTCAATGTCAATAGTGTCGATGACGACTTCTTCAACCTCTGGTTACTTGCGGCACCATCCGCAGTCACTGCAGCACCATCCCGAGGAATACAGGGCTTTATATCGATCAGGAGTGCAATGGGACTTCCATGCGATTTTTGGCAAAACAAAGCAGAATAGGTAATTACTGTGTGTTGTGATTTGCACTGCATGGAGCTGGTATCACAAGTAACTTGTGTATGGGTCTTTATATGCCCTTAACAAAAATGTATCTTATTAGTGTATCACTCAGCTGTAGATTTTCAAATCATCTCTGAATTTGTGCTGACTCTGTCCTTCCTTCTGGAAGGTTTCTACTTTTGTTCCCCATGGTCCTTGTGTGTGTTGTGAGGTAGCCACTGCTCCGAGCTCGCTCCTGTGATGAACTACAATTTCCCATACAGTTTACTCATTTGTGAGAGTGTAGTCTGTCACAGGGACTGTGGTTGCTAACTTAAGTGTATGACCTGTGTAGGCAAGGTCCACTCTATCTTGAATGGATTCCCTAGAGAAAGACATTGTGCAAAATAACCTCATTTGCACTTTTCCAGTCCAAAGTAATGCTGTGAAATATAACTGTCCTATTGTTTCCTGTGTGGAATAGCACTACATTTAATTCAATCTTCTTCTAAAGGTTGGAAAACTTAAAGATGGAGCCCGCACAGTGTCCAGGACCATACAAACAAACTTCTTTGATGGTGCAAAGCAAGAAGCCATTGATCTGCTGCTCATGGGTGATTTCTACAACGATGAATATGCAGACAAAGGACGGATGTTAATGGACAGTGCTTCTCTTCTTGGTAATGGACTGAATATATGAAAATATTACATGTAAACCAAGAATATGTCCAATAAATGCCTCTAGACTTGCTGGAGGTTTAACAATTGTGTTATTTAGTTGTTTTCCTGTTTAATAAAAAACACTGTTTACCATTTTACAATTTTCAAATCTCCCTTCCCCACCAGTTGTGCTTACTGTGAAGGAACGGTTATTATAAGAAGCTTACCAACACAAAATAATAGAACTCGCGTAAGCTGCATATAGTAGAATAGGCTGCCTGAGCCATAGTTTTTGTGTATTTTGTTTATTTGTTAAATTAAATGTCTTTGTATTCCTTGGTGATGCATTTATGTATTTTGTACCGTTGTTTAGTTAAAGGAGAACTATGGGGTCAGTGTTTTTCCCCATAGTTCTCCTTAGGGTAACGGGAGGACACAAACTAGCGTCCTCCCGTTACACTAAGCTCAGTATACCGCGAGCTACAGCTCGCGGTATACTGAGACGCCTGAGCGGATCCCGACATCGATGTCGAGATCCGCTCAGCTGCGTGAGTGACAGCTGGCTTTGCCTATCTAGAGGCAGAGCCAGCTGTACCCGCCCCCTCCCCCGTCCGTTCCGCCAATCAGCGCTGGCAGATCGGAGGGGGAATCCAGGATCGAGAGGTGAGCGAACGCCGGTATATGTTTGCTCACCTCCCGATCTACTGAGCCGACCTGTGACAGTCTCATTGTCACAGGTTGGCTAGAACTATGAGGTGAGTGAAAAGCACTTACCTCATAGTTCTCCTTTAAATTGTATACCAGCACACGACCTTCTCTTAGTTGCCCACTTTTGGTGTTTTTAATATACCATAAAAAATGTGAGCTTGTAACTTTTTGTACACTTCTTATCTATCTATCTATCTATCTATCTATCTATCTATCTATCTATCTATCTATCTATCTATCTATCTATCTATCTATCTATCTATCTATCTATCTATCTATCATGCTATCTCTGTGGACTAAAAAAAACCCTCCCCATGTTATGTAGATGAATGTTAATGAAGGAGGCGTTCTGTAGTCCTAACACACTTCCTGTCCTAAGGTGAAAATGGTACTGTTTTCTAGCTACAGTATGGTGAGTGATCGGCATCACACTAGGACAGGAAGTGGGTTACTGGCAGGATCACCAGGTAGTTATTTTTTTTACAGGTATTTATATAGCATAGTGTATGTTCACATCAGTCACATTAGGTATATAGGAATACTAATGCCGCCACAGCATCTAAGGACCTATGGTCTGCCTGGGCCAAAGCTTGCCAGCTTAGAGTTGGTGGCTGCATTTGTTGTTTTTATTTTTCATTTTTTTGCCTTTTTTTCCTTTATTTTCAACTGGTGATCCTGCCAGAAACACACTTCCTGTCATAGGGTGACAACACTCCCTCACTGTAATGTATCTTGTAGCTGTTATTGCATTTAGTTACACTTTAATATGTCAAAGAGTCACTTTCACAAAGCACAAGCAAGCACAGATGCATTTTAAAGAAGTTACACGAATCCATGATGGAAATGTGATTTAGTCAGCTTTCCAAGCATGTTATATTTTGTATTACAGTGAATCCCAGTGCGGTAAAAGCGATGTCCGAAAGGCAATTTGAGTTCACAAATTACAAAAAGACTCGTGTGGCCATGGGCACTTGGAATGTAAATGGAGGAAAGCAGTTCCGCAGCAATATCCTTAGCACAAGTGAGCTAACAGATTGGCTACTTGATGCTCCTAAGCTATCTGGCCTTCCTGATTTCCAAGGTAAGTCTGCACTAGTACACGAGATTTGACAAACAAGGGGGCATAGTATAATAATAAATGGTCTTCTTTCGCGTGTTTTTAAAAAAAATGTTTAAATCTGCCACAGAATCCCTTTAACGTGTATTTCCAATTTTGCAGTCACATTTGAAAAAACCCCTTTATATATTATGGGGGAAATTGATAAAAACCGGAGCAGATAAAATCTGGAGCAATTGCCCATGGCAGCCAATCAGCCTCTCTCTTCAGTTTGTTCAGTTAAGATTTAAAAATGAAACAGAGAAGCTGATTGGTTGCCGTGCACAGCTGCTCCAGATTCTGTCTGCTCCAGTTTTGATAAATTCCCTTCTATGTGGCCTATACACACAGCATGCCTAAAATACATTTTTAACCTCTTGCCTCTTGCAATTTTTTTCTGCTCGCGCGCGCCCCCTAGCGGGCACGCACGGGCAGAAAAGACCCGACAATGCACACACCCGGTACCGGGTGTCACACATATAGGCGATCAGCGGGTCCATAGCCCGCCGATCGCCTATATGTGCTCGTTCGCGGCACCCACCACCGCACCCGTCGCCTAGGGCCAATTTTGGGTATTATCGTTTTTTGAGGTTTCGCGCGCGCACGCAATTTTAAGGCTTGACATGTTTAGTGTCTTTTTACCCGATGTGACCCCATCTTTTATATTTTACCAAAAAATTGGGTAATAATAAATGTTTTATCATTTAATATAGGGGAAACTGTTTTTTTTTTTTTAATTTCGGTAATTTTTCCTTAATATAGTAAAAAAATAAAAACCCCAGTGGTGAATAAATACCACCAAAAGAAAGCTCTATCTGTCCCCAAAAAAGGGTATAAAATTCATTTCAGTACAGCGCTGCATGACGGAATAAATGTCAGTTAAAGTACCGCAGCGCTGAATACTGAAAAATGGCCTGGATGGGAAGGGGGTTTAACACCGCGGATGTCAACTGGTTAAAAATATATGTCTTTCCTATTGGATGTGTTTGTGTAGCAGGCCTTTGGGGCTTCTCTCTCAATTTCCAAGTAACGGGAACCTCTGGCTCTACATATAGAAAGACTAGGGGCAGGCTTCCTCTTATTAGCATATAATAATTCTAAAGGTGGCCATACACTGTGTGAACTTCGACTGGTCCTTGAGGAACCAGACCAAATCTGCGCGGTTGGTGCCGCTATCGGCACCCTTTTCGTCCGGCATCCCTCGATCAGCTGATCGAAGGAGCTGCTTGCAACATCTTCGTATGAACAGAGCCGCCAGCCAATGAGCTGCTGGCTTTGTATGAGTAATCTGACAGCGGCCACTGTCAGAACCTAGAAGAAACAGCCATGGTTCCTCGATCAATGCGTTGGTAGTGTTGATGGAGGACTCTATTTTTTTTCTTCTGCCACGGGTTGGAAAAAAGAAAACAAAGTAGAGCAGTGTATGGCCAACATTAGTCTTTAACCCTTTGTTGGAACAGACGGTGTTTGAATCTAGTTTACAACTGATAATAAGGTCTGCCAGCACAGTACAGACAGGATTCATTATGTTAACATCAACCTGCCCAGTCCCCTTTAAATTCCAGAGCAAACCTCAGTACAGAGAACAACTTTTCTTTTAGAATAGAGCATGCGTTGTGCAAGTAACGGTTGAAAAATACCTTGTAAGTTATGCTTCGTGAATGAGAAACATGTAACAAGTATAAAATAGGTGCCGCACTCCATGTGTCGCTGGAAATGTCTTTTTATTAAAGTCACACAGTTACACGGTCCCGCCTAAGGTCCGCCCCTCTAACGTGTTTTAGCCAATCCTGAGCTTAATCGTAGAGTTAACTCTAAAGCTGGCCATACATTTCTCTGTGATTTCCAGTGACACATGGAGTGCGGCCAAATGTTTTATTGGTTTGACGGCAGCTAACGTGGGAGTTAGGACGAACTCCGGATGGATTTCACCTGCCTGTATGCTGTGGAGGAGCAGTGTAACCCTTTGAGTGTTTTTTAAATATAAAATAGATTGTATTCCAATTTGCCTGCAAAAGTGGAAACACACTTTTAAGTATATTTAATTATATTTAAAAGGTTTGTTTTGAGACCATTTAAGAAAAGGGGTGAGTTAAAATAAAATCTTTCAGGGTAACAAATGTCTAATACCTTTATCTAAAATGGATGAATAGTGGTCATTTCTCTGGCCATAGCTCTGGTACTCAGCCAAGCCCACCAGAATGATATGGCACAATCCCAGATAGGCCAGTTGTCCCTTTCCAGCTGCTGTTTTGTACAAACTACAGTATCCTTCAGAACAGTTATTACACAGTATAGTTCTTTGTGAGGGATGAGCATGTTTGAAAAGTGTTGCCATTGCAGTCACGTTAGTAACAAGATATACAAAGCAGCTGAAATGTCTTTTAAAATTAGCCTAATACTTTACAGAATGTTCTATGTTGTTTTGTATGTATTCATTGTTCTGTGATTACTCTTTGTTTAAACTGGGATATGAAATTTACTCTATTAAGTAGTCAATTGCATGTGTGTGTTTTTCTGTCATTGTAGATGAAAACAACCCTCCGGACATCTTTGCAGTAGGGTTTGAAGAAATGGTTGAACTGAGTGCCGGAAACATTGTTAGTGCCAGGTCAGCCATATTGACAGTAGCAAACTAAAATGGAAAACTTAAGTGTTCAGTCCCTTGAGTATTTCTGATGCACAAAGTCCAAATATAAGCAATGATGTCACAGAAAACATCACCCCCAGAGTTTGTCAGCTCTCAAATGGCAGTTTGAGCAGAGAAGAAGGGGGACTATGCTCTTCCTTTCCCTCACCTGCCATTGCCTAATGGATGGCATTGAAATAGAACAATAAGTTTTTTTTAATTGTGAGAAATTTTTGTTTGAACTACATACACACACATGGTGAACTGGGACATTAGACCTATGGGGGTTGCAGGTACATAAGACCCCCTTGCTAACATTCCTGGGCACTGGTGTGCTAAAGAGTGCTTTGGGAGGGGGACCGACATATTTTGGTGGCACCCCCCCAATACAGAAGGTCATGATGTAGGATGGTATCAACATAGCAGGGAGGTGGCACTCACTCGCCTTTCCCTTTCTATGAGGATACCAGCCCACATGCATAGCATGTTGGGCGTTTTAGTTTAGGACGTGGGGAGGGGAAAACTAATTTTTCTGTTTTGTGCTGAACCAGTAATAAAAGCACATCTTAAGCACATTGCATAATTTCAGGCGCATCTGCAGTAAAGGTCACATTCACCCTTTTCTTAACTAGGGTGAATGTTACAATAAATATATTTTACTATTGAAGTTCAGATGTTGTCAGGGGATATTTCCGGTGGGTGAATTTTAACTAATTTTTCTTGATACGTAAGGTAGATGCCCACCATCGTTTGTTAGGCAAATGTTGGGCATAAAATGTTGATAAATACATCACTATGTATAATTATTACTGTTTTGTTTTTTTTTTCAATCAAAAATCAACTTTATTGTACATAGGTATAATACAATAACATAGGGAGACAGTGTCTCAGCAATAAAGCCACATCTGCAATACACATCTGAGATAAAAGGTATAGTTGGTCCATGACATGTAGTGCGAACATGGGAAGTTGAAAGGGGGCATCCCTGTCTGGTGCCGTTGGATATGGAGAAAAAATCAGAGCGGACCTCATTTACACGGACGGCAGCCGACGGGGACAAGTAGAGTGCAAGGATCCACCGCAGCATGTTAGGACAATTATTACTGGTTTGTGGCATGTCACATTCAGATTATGGGGCCCCGCAGCAATTTTCTGTCTAGAAAGACGGTTTGAGGGTTATAAAGTGTATGTTTTATTCTAAAACGGTAGTAACTACAAATAAGGATATAATCTAGGTTACTGCATTTTGGAATTTAGTCAGGGCTATCTGGAGAGTATATATTGATAAACTGGTTGGCTTCTTATGTTGTAGTCATTTTAAAGTCAGTAAACTAAACTCAGGAGTTAAGCTCAAAAATGCATTGAGGTACTTCAACTATTAACAAAAATGTAGCTTATTTGTATATCACTTCACTGTAGATCCTCAAATCATCTCTGAATTGGTGCTGGCACTGTCCTTCCTTCTGGAGGGTGGCTACTTTTGTGGGCTAGTGGTCCTAAAATGTACCTTGTTGAGCAATATAATAAAATATTGAAGAAAATGTATATCTTTCCCACGAGTTGAACATTAAAGCAAACCTGTGTTTTAACAATTCAGGGCAATGCAACACATTTGCTTTAATCCCCAGTGGTACATTTTCTTTGTTGTCCCAACACTCCGTTCAGTGTGGGGAGCCAAACTAAATCCTTGGTACTTCTGGGTGTGAATGAGCATGTGGCTACCGCCATGTGACAGCGCTGGGCCAATCAGTGCTCCCATGCGAGATTCTATAATCCTTTGTAAGCTATTACTCTAGTGACTTATTGCTTATGCAGGACTTTCCTTCTTCTCCCAAAAGTGGCAGGGAAAAAAGGGAGGGTAAACATAAGCTGCTGGGCAGACGGGACATTAGCGTGAACCTGTAGCTTTGCCCTGCACTTTAAGTTGCATATAAAATGGAAGAATAGTTTGAAGCTTTACACAAGTGCAGGGCAGATTTTAAGTGCACAAATTACTGCATCTCTATATTTATTGATATATCATTCAGTGTACCTGAATTGAATTTAATATCGTCCTCTTACAATCTACTGTACAGAAAAACTCAGACTAGGAGAGAGAGAAGCAGTCAGTTGTGCTGCCGTGCAAGGTGTTTGCTGAAAAGAGCAGAAAGCAGAATGAGAGAGAGATAATCTCATCAGTTTACTTCTCCTTTCACTGTCCAGTCACAGGGTGGGGGTGTGGAGGAGACCTGTAAGTGTTCATAAACTGCAGCAGAACAAACACAGGTCTCCTGCCCTTACGGACAGGGCTGTGCTTTAAGGTGGAGTTGTATAAATCTGAGAACTGAATGGACAGAAATACAAATCTTTGACAGGTAAAGCAACTTTTTTACATGCATTTCATTTGAGTATTCATCAGTTTGCCTGGAGTTCAGCTTTAAAGTACTTACCTATGCATGTGCTCCTACTCTATTTAAGGGACAAGGCAGATGCAAAAGTTGATGCTTGATTATGTCTTTCTTTTTTTTTTTTTCCTGTCCAATCATTAAACACACATAATAATATTTTTTTTATAGTACAACAAACAGAAAAATGTGGGCTGAGCAAATCCAGAAGGCTTTATCCCGATCACATCGATACATATTATTGACCTTTGGACAGCTTGTCGGTGTTTGCCTCTTTATATTTGTAAGGCCGTACCACATGCCATTCATCAGGTACGCATCCATCACAAGAGCAGCATCCTTTATATTTGTATTTTTTCCTTGCTATGTAAAACATTTTATAATTATACTTCTGCATTCACTGTTTCATTTTCTGTCTGCTGTAGTAAAACAAGTATCTGTTTTTAATAAGAAAATTAACAATGTGTATAAATTTGTACATTATGCAGACTTCCTAAGCCATTTCAATATTCTATCATGCATATAGTTTTCTCTACTAAACTGTGAACAGAAATACCTAATTATGTGTTGGGGAATTAAAAATATAAAGCTTCCACTGCCTATAATTGAATATTTAAAGGGAAAATACAACTTGATGTGACTGTAGTTTGCTATAGTAGAGGACGCCCATAGAAATTACATATTCTGTTCTGACTATTAAATGAAGATTACACTTGAGCAGTAAGAGTAAGAATTAGATTATTCTCAGTTCCATATGTATTAGGAGTCTATAAAAGGCGTTTCTGGGTAATAATATATAAATTGTAAACTGCCTCACTTGAAAATGTGAGTAGTATGTGAAACAACTGATGGATTTCACTGATCATGTCTGATTTTTATGGACTAATCATTGTGCCTAATAAAGTTGGGGAAAGTAAGGTCAACCAAGTGCAGGCCCTGTGTTTGCTCTATGAATCCAAGTGTGGGACTCTGTCTTTACTGTATGAATATGAGTGCAGGACCCTGTCTTTACTGTATGAATACGAGTGCGGGACCCTGTCTTTACTGTATGAATACGAGTGCGGGACCCTATCTTTACTGTATGAATACGAGTGCGAGACCCTGTCTTTTCTGTATGAATCCAAGTGCGGGACCCTGTCTTTACTCTATGAATCCAAGTGCTGGACCCTGTCTTTACTCTATGAATCCAAGTATGGCACCATGTCCTCGTTCTATGAATAAATTATACCACCCTGTCTTCGGTTTATGAATCCAAACTGACCATGTTCTATAAATCCTAGTTCATAACCCTGTTTGTGCTCTATGAATCCAAGTTTTGGACCTTGTACTCGTTCTATGGCTCCTGGTGTTACCCTGTCTTCACTCTATGAATCCAGGTGGAAGTAAGGGACCTAGTTCTTGCTCTATAAGTACACTCCTTACCGATATGTCCCTTGTAGTGGGGGGTGCTCGCAGTGACCGCGGATGGCACCGTGAATGTCCGCAAAATTGTAGAAATGTCACCAGCACACCAGTCCTTTTAAGATAGCAAAACCTTCATTTATTGAAGTTTTTTGACATATGACCAAACAAGCGCTTTCGGGACCGCACAGGGTCCCTTCATCAGGCTTTAGCTCTATGAATACAAGTGTGGGATTCTGTCTTAGCCTTATGAATACAGTTATTTATGTTTTCTGTGAGGAGGGATAAGCTGGAAACTAGAAATTATTGATGCATGTATGTGTTTAATGAGAACAGTCTGTAGTCCTCCTTCTCTGAATGGTGTTATGAACTGCTGGTGTGGTCAATTCTTTTTTACGTGCTTTGGGTTATAATATTTTACAAATGTTATACATTGCACTGATGTCTTTTACCGTGCTTACTATTGCTTTGGATTTAGTTTTGTTTTTGTTAGTACTGATTAGATATTTTATCCGTTAATGGCTGATACAATACCATATTTTTCATGGATCCAGCAGGGATCTAATGGCCAGCTGTACTTTGACTGGCCACTTCACTGGTCAGCAGAATAGAAACGTCTGCATTATACACTTTAAATAAAGCAAAGCTTGTCTAATTTGTGGAGCCTATATTTGTTATTATTACTATTAAGAATAATAATAATTTTAGGTGCTATTTTTCTAATCTAAAGCTAGCTCTACTCGGCTTAAATTTCTGCCTATTTCTGTGAATCAACTGAAATCCAAGCTGTGGATGGCCTTTTTGGCACCACCTGATTTCATTAAACTTCCAATGAAAAATAGAAAGAGGCAGGTGGAAAATTGTTGGCCGAGCATTAAAGCATCTGTACTCCTGCGACTGCTTGAATACAACCGCCTACATCTTGTATGATCCCTCGTACAGAACTACATTACTTGAATGACCCCTAGTAGAGAACTACAGTACTTGAATGACCCCTAGTAGAGAACTACAGTACTTGAATGACACCTAGTAGGGAGTTAAATTACTTGTACGACAACTAGTAGGGAGCTACTGTACTTGTAAGGCAAATAGTGGGTAGCTACAGTACTTGTATGAAAACTAGTAGGGAGCTACAGTGTTGTGGAAACGGGTAATTTTTAAAATTGACATTGCAAAGACGGGAAAAATAGACAGAATAGTGGTCACAGAGTTGTGGTCAATTTGAAGTTTCTCAAAGCAGAATTATTTTAAAGAAGTATATAGAGTGCTGAAATTTCCTTCTAATGTAATTTCTGTGGTTGTCAGCACATACCCTATAAAGAAGGCAATCACATAAACATGGTTTTTTTAGTTATTTGTTTGTACATTTGACTGGAAAGGTACAGTTTTCCTTTTCTTATTCTGAACTCATAGCTGACATTTATCATTGTGCTGATATGTTTAAAATGTAAGTGTACTTCGAATACTCAGCATCTCGCACCTCATGTAGTGTCCTTATCACACACACATAGACTTTGTCTGTGTACTCCGCTGCCTGTACTTTTCTTACACATGCTATAAGTGCAGCCACAGAAAGTAGTGACTGCATGGGGTGCATACACAGTTACGTACCCTTATTTCCTAAGGCAGGGCTTAGCACGTGTAAATTCACAGCTATGTCCTGTGGAATGCATCAATGCAAGCTGGTTGGTTTATCTGAATCTACCACATGCATGGTGAGGGTACTATGAGAAGGTTAGAGGTGCTGAGTATTGTATACAGTCTCTACAATTACATTTTAAAATTGATGCAGATTATTAAACCTTATGTGAATATTTTTTTTTTTTTTTCTGGTGGACTCTGTCTTACTTATATTTATAAGCTGTACATTTTCCTTACTATTTGCTAGGTTGTTCTTATCTGTTTCTCTTACAGAGACTTGGCAATGGACACTGTAAAGACTGGTATGGGAGGAAAAACTGGCAACAAAGGCGCAGTAGGCATACGTTTCCAGTTCTACAGTACAAGTTTTTGCTTTATATGTAGTCACTTTACTGCTGGGCAGACCCAGGTGAAAGAACGAAATGAGGATTACAAAGAAATCACTCAGAAATTAAGCTTCCCTATGGTGAGTGGTACAGTACAATGACATCTGCCAGTACAATGCTGCTTAGAATGTGGAAAATACAGACGTGCTACCATATATCACAACTGTCCCTCATTTGAATGGACTGTGCATTTGCTATTTAAAAAGGCCGGTATAAAGTGAAAAAGGTGGAAAAGAAGCATTTGTGGGTTTAGCCTATCAGTTTTTGCATATCTGTGATCTTTATAATTGGAGACATGGCAGGTCATATATACTTTGCTTATATACTTTGTACTGTAAGGTCTCGCTCGTTCTCATCTCAGAAAGTTGGGTGGTAGGGTGTTACTTTTTTAGCCTTGCATGCAGAGGCGTAACTGAAAGACATGGATGTATATACTGTATGTATGCATGCGTGTGTGTGTGTGTGTGTGTGTATATATATGTATATATATATATATATATATATATATATGTGTGTGTGTGTGTATATAATTACAAATGGGGATGTTGAGTCCATAATTTAGGTGGTTGTTTTGTTTAAATACAAGTGTTTCATACCAGACATTCCATGCTCCTGTACTTTACTTATAGAAGGGGCGTTTAGTTAGTTTGGATATTAAAGATAACACTTGTATCGCCTAACGAGCAGCCAGCTCCCCATGGTGTTTAGTCCATGCAGTGAGATGTACTTCCAAAAAATTACACCAGTAATATTTCCTGTTTATTTTTCTTAATTCAAGGGAAGAAATGTTTTTTCGCATGATTGCATATTTTGGTGTGGAGATTTTAACTATCGGCTGGACCTTACATACGAGGAAGTTTTCTATTTTATTAAACGTCAGGATTGGAAGAAATTACTCGAATTTGATCAGCTTCAGATACAAAAAGCCAATGGAAAGGTGTGTACAGTTTTAAATAAAATCCAAACTGTATGTGATCCATTTTTTTATTACTGGTAATTACATGAAGATATTTCTAATGTTTGTTATATGTATTTCTGAATGTTACTAGTTTAGTGGTGGTATAAGGAGTGTCATGAGTACTCTAAGGGGTTGATTTACTAAAATAAATGCAGAATGTTCAACAAGCTTAGTACATGTTTTGAAGCTGTGTTCTCTTTAAATACTAAATCATGTGCGAGGGAGATTAAATAAACAGGATTTAGCTTGCACATGACTGAATAATTGAACACTGCTTTATCTTTTTCACTAAGCATACTGCAGAGTCCTAATTTTTGCTTAAGTAAATAACCCCATAGAAGGGGGAATATCCTTTTAATGCATTAATTTTTTGTTGGAACCTCTTAAAATGTCAGTGATTTTCAATTTGTAGGTGTGGTGGTACGTTTTCCTGGAAGATACTGGCCACAGCACACTTTGCCAAACTGCTCCATGCATGTTTAGGAATAGATTGTCAAATGTACTTCTGCACCTATTCTAAAATGCTAAAGGTTCCATTCACAAACATAGAAATTGAAATACATAGAAAGCCACTTTTTTAAAGTGTAACTAAGTTCGCGTGATACATTTTAAACACGCAGTAAAGGAGCTTTAAAAATGACTGACCTCTCTAGCTGCATATACATTGGATCAATTCTCAAAATTCAAAGAAGCACCTAAAGTCATTCATGTTGTGCTCTCAGCAGTTCAGCTCCCCCTCCCAGCAGTCTCAGCCCTCTTGCCTTTTAAACTCTAATGCAAGCAAAAAGTAGGAACTCTAGGAGAGGGGAGCAGGGGGAGCCAAGCTGCTGAGATAATCGACTTGAACTACTTCAGTGCTTCTGCCATGAAATTTGAGGATGAATCGCTCCACATTGCCTGCATCTACAGATGTCAGTGAGCTCTTTTAATACTTGTTCAGAATATATAAATACTTTAAAATCCACAGTCTGGCCTTAGTAACACTTTAAGTTCTTAAGTGCATTGTTGTGTGTACAATTGCATTTTAAATAGAACATGTTTGATTACTGACACACTATGAACACACTGAACAAATCTTAGGAGTTAGGCCAGTGTGCCTCGAAACTTTCAGCCACCACCTTACATTTTGAACCGTTTCTGTTATTGCAATAACGTTCCCACTGAATCCTACATTGGACTTTTTTTCATCTGCCGATCTCTAGTCATTTCGATGGCTCATTGTCACTATCTCAGGTGAGTAATAAGACATTAAGTATCATTCTAAGCTAATGGATGCAACACTTTGAAAGAGGTTTATAAAAGTCACGATGTGCTAACAAGGTATAATTTGCCATAATAACAGATCAAGGAATCTGTGCAGAAAACGGAGAAATGAAAATATTCTTTTTATGTTCCTTCATTCTTTTGTTTAAAGCCTCAAGTCTTGCATTTAAAAGAAAAACTTGACACCTACAGCATGTTACAAAACCTCAAAGAAAACTTGATTTCCTGTCTCAGTTTTGTAGTATGAGGTTTACAGCTTATACTTTGATGTAGTTCAAATGCATTCAAGATAAATAAATATGCATTGCATTATACCTAAAAATGTCTGTCAGTTTCACAGTAAGGTGACTAGATTTTCAAAATGAAATTTGGGGACACCCGACTGACAATGCCCACTTTAAACCACACTCACACAACCATGCATCCATTTTTAACCACACCTATAAAATAACACCCATATGTTAACCCACCCTCGAAAAAAAATTGGTGACAGACTTTTGGAACAAGAGATAGACAAAATAAACAGATTTCAAATAAGAGGCACCAAAATATACATGCATAGTTTGGGGTCTGTCCTGGGGATATCAAATAGAAAAACTTAGTGTGCCGGCGACACCGGGAAGCATGGCCAATAAGGTGGGTGTCTTTTCACTGTATGGCTTGTAGTGTGGGAGTAAAATAAGCCCCAGAATTGTTGTCATTAGCAGTAAGAAAGATAAATACATTTATCATTTTACCATTCCCTCTGGCTGATGAACTGATGGGGTACTTGCTTGCCCTGCTCAGAGCACATACAGTACTTCAATATGCCCAGAAAGCTCTCAATCGCAGGAGTGGACCTGATGGGAAGCTGCTGTAGTTCAAAAGCCTGCAAGCTCACCTGCTGAAAAGGCATTTGTATGGGCAGACCCAATGGAAAACTACTATAGTCCAAATTCCCCAGAGGCTCCCTCATTATAACATGTATAATTTTATGCTAAAAATATCATCACACATACTGTACAGATATCCCCTCACGGTCTGCCTCTCCACACAACACCAGAACGGTGTTACAAATACAGTGGTACAGCAACCCCTCGTTGCTCAATTAAGGGTGGACCCCCATTCCGGCAAACAGGGACAGATGGCAACCTTATTTTAGATGAGCCTTTTAATTAGCATAGAAATATGTTTTCCCCATAGATATTCAAAGACTTCTATGAAGGTACTATACACTTTGGGCCAACTTACAAGTATGACATTGGATCAGAGGCTTACGACACAAGTGAAAAGTGTAGAACACCGGCATGGACAGACAGAGTGTTGTGGTGGAGAAAGAAATTACCATTTGAGAAATCAGGTACCGTAAACTGATTGTACTATTAGATTATTACTTGGATTATTATACCCTGAAATTTGAAACAATAATATTGGGTGGACTAACTACCGGTACATAGTAAACAACACATGTTGGTTGTCACTGGGATGGGCAAGTATAGGTATTAATAAAAACATTGTAGAGATTTTCCTGTGCCTGTGATGCCCATACATGAAATGTGAGTGGGGATGTCACCGGGACTGTAGAATGAGCATTATTAAAACCATTGTAGAGATTTTCCTTGACTTCCTGTCCCAGTGACGCCCATACAAGAAATAGGGGTTCGGTTGTCATTAGGACAGGAAGGCAAAACTGTAAGGCCTTGTTCACACCATCAGGATCGCATTGCGGCCGGCTCATTTGTTGCAGGGCGGGAGGGGGTGTGGCGGTCCGTTGAAGTAAATGGCACAATTGCCATGCCCTCCCACCGCAATGCGATCGGCCGCACTGGAACGCAAGGCACATCAATGCCTGCGGTCCAGTCCAAAAAAATAGTGCTTTTAATCCTTTCTTACTAAAAATGTTTTTTGTTTTGTCCTTGTTGGAGAGATTCCCCACCACTTTTTGTGCTAAAGGTACACAAATGGCCATAAAAACCAGACGGGGGTTCTAACATACCCCTGCTCTGTCTAAAACTAAATAAAGCGTTTAAGCTGGAGCTTTAAAGCCAAAAGGTTCATCCAACATATGCTACTACATTTAAATATTCATAACTGAAACATCAGTTATCGGTAGATTGGGATAACATGCAAATTAAAAAATTACATTTGTTGTACATATGTTTTTTCAACATTATTGAAAAAAAAATGAACTGATCATAATTATTGCGCAATGTTGGATGAAGACCACAAATAACATGCAACATTTTATTACATCCTTATGAAAGCTGGCTTTATATACCTTTTGATAAACTACCAAATAGCAAGTAAGATACACTGGTGAAAACTGAAGTCCAAGTAGGTATAAAGAACCCCAATGAATGCAGTTATGTGTTTTGTAAAAAAAAAAAGGAAATGTAGGAATTGTTTTCAGCTTCTTGAAATCCACAGTGCAGCAGATGAAGGGGCAGCACCGGGGTCCAATCAGAAACATGCTGGGGGCTGATGAGATAAACTGGGGACTCATATGAAACATGAGAAAAAGAGAAGAGAGTATAGAAATGACCTCATGAGTCTGTTGCTGCTCCTAAATTGCCCATTAGCAGGCTGGGGGCAGAGATGAGACCTACTTGTGGTGCTTAACTGCTGAAGGAACAGTCAGGTCACCAGGCTAGTTGTGTTAAAGGAGAACTATGAGGTGAGTGCTTCTCACTCATCCTCATAGTTCTAGCCGACCTGTGACAATGAAACTGTCACAGGTCAGCTCAGTAGATCGGGAAGTGAGCGAACACATACCGGCGTTCGCTCACTTCTTGATCCTGTCACGGCAGAGAGCCGTGACAGGTGAGGGGCTGGATTCCCCCCTCCCTACTCCCATCCTCCAGTGCTGACTGGCGGAACGGACGGGGGAGGGGGCGGGTACAGCTGGCTCTGCCTCTATATAGGCAGAGCCAGCTGTCACTCACGCAGCTGGGCGGATCCAGACATAATTGTCGGGATCCGTTTCAGCTGCGGCGTCTCAGTATAACGTGAGCTGTAGCTCGCGGTATACTGAGCTTAGGGTGACGGGGGGACACAAACTATGGAGAACTATGGGGAAAAGCCCTAACCCCATAGTTCTCCTTAAGTGTAGGGCTAGCAATTTCTCACACCTGGATATGCAGACATATAAATTCTGTGGCAGGTTTTTTTAGTTGACAAATATGTATTTGGCTTTCCAATGTAGCTGTTTGCTTTGAGTTCAGATTTAACTTTATTTTCTTTGATATGCATGTGTCCCTTTTCACAAAGGGGAAAACCTGCTTTGCTGGCACAATAATAAAATGCTTGTTTAAAGTAATTTTTACTAACCGTGATGCCTTAACATCTTGTATTACATGTGCTCAAAAATCCACATATAGCCGGAGACATTAATCTTCTAGACAATGATTTGGATTTCAGCACTAGGATAAAGCACACATGGACTCCCGGAGCATTGATGTATTATGGTAGAGCAGAGATTCCAGCTTCTGATCACAGGTACTCTTATCTGCTATGGGGTGGGAGCTGAATAAGAAAAATCTTAAGGTGTATGGCCACCTTTTAGAATGGCCATGCATGGTCAGATTTTCTCCAGTGATGTGACTGATTTAAGCAATAGAAGATTGGATTTTAAAATCAGAATTGGTAAATAAAATTTCCAGCTCATTGCAAACTGTTGCAGCAGTAAGGCCTTACTTACACAATGTTCAGCTTGTATAAGCGCAGTGAGTACAGCAAGCTTTTGCAAATAATTTGCAATGCTTTCAGCAACCCTTAAGCAGCTTTTTCGAAGCCTTTAAAGAAAACTTCAGTTACAATTTAGCAATGTCAACCAAACATCTTAGTGTGAGTGTTGTCACTTTAAATAAACTGTAAACAGGCTTCGGTAATCTTCAGATTGTGCTTAACCTCCACAGGATGGATCTGAATGGTACCTAATACTGGGGAAACCACAACATTTCAAAACCACAATTGCTTCTTTAGGTCTAGGGTATTGGGTAAACCAGTTTTACTTACCTGATTCCTGCTCTGTCAGTCCGCATTCTCCTTGTCCCCCCTACACTCTTGGCTTGTGGACTGTCCCTTGACGTTCTCACATATAAAGCCATGGGCCCTGCATTGTAATTGATGATGTCAGCGGGCCCCCGACCACCAGTGCATGAGGGGAGGGGGGCATGGCTTTTGTAGCTTGGATGGAGAGGGAGATCAGATAAATGTCCTTTTTACAGGTACCCTATACCTAAATAAGCATGTAACCCTTGCAGTACGGGGGGCAGCCTCACTGCAAGGGGAGTCTTCCCCCCTCCCCCCCCCCCCCAGTACATTTTTAAAGGCATGAAAAATGTTTTTTGAAGCTTGTAAAGCTTTGTAAATGCTTTGCAAAAGCTTGCTCTACCAACCGTACCCATTAAAGCCTATATGAACAAGGTCTAAAGCAAGCAGACAGCATTGTTCTGTCTTCTGTCCGTCTATTGCAAGCCTAACTAAACTGTACGCTAAAGGACACTTGTGCTTTTCCCATTTAGGGTATTGATGACGTATTTCTAAGCATTTAAAATATTCATGTTTGTGCATGTACATGGTGTACATTGTTGTACATGGTGTATAAACATATTTTGTACTGCTGAGAGCAAGTCACAGTTTCCCGTTATCAGCCATATTATGGTCTGGAGATGTAACTCTATCTATGCTGTAATTAGTGATGGGCTCGGGTGTGTTCGCAGCTCCACGTGCCGAGCCCGCCAGGAAGCTGACCGCGCTGCAGCGCCAATCACAGGCACTGAGACATTTCCCGATCTCTGCAGCTGCGGACCGGGATAATGCCTCAGTACGTGTGATTGGCGCTGCGGCGCTGTCAGCTTCCTGGCAGGCTCGGCACGTGGAGTTGCGAACACGCCCGAGCCCATCACTAGCTGTAATAGACCAGGTTACTTTTAACAAGGGTAACATGAATGTCAGCATTTTTTAAACATAAAATACAGTATAATATATACCGTACTATAGGCTTAGAGGTAAAAATTACAGTATGTATTCGATGAATAACAACGTTTATAACATGTTGTTGCTTTAACAATAATTGATAACAGCAGTAATACTACATGCTAAAAGCTTTGCACATGCAAGTGCTGTGGGTTTGTTTTTCCTTTCTCTCCTAAATACCGCCTATAGAACACCAAGAATATCTTCTTGTTTTCCTGCTTTGCATCATAATAGTTTATGTAGCTTATGTCAAGAAGATTGCTAAATAATGTATTTATAAATTGTTGTGCTGTAGAAGTTCAAGCTAGAAATGGCTTGCTGATTTTCATGCTGACAGTACTGCGTCTGTTTTCTTCCCATATTGCTTCTGCAGAGAAGATTATGATTATATAGCACAATGTGCACTGCAGTGCTTTACTCCAGTAATGTTTCATTAGCTGCATCATCTCTCCTGGTATAAGTCATCAAATGGAGAGAGTTCATGTACAGTTTTAATAGTTACTCTTCAGAATAGGTTTTATATAACTGCATGGCAGGTGATACACTGGGGAGCTTTTGCACTTAATAACACACATCACAAGGAAATAGATACTGCCTGAGAAAACAATGCTGTGAGCAAGATTTTTCACTTAGACTTTTTACATTAAGACATTATTACCAAAATACTTTATAGAAACAGAAGCAAAAAGACAAGATAGTGTGTTGCACTATTCATTAGACCCATATACTTAATTATGAAATAGTACGTATCATTAGCTTTTTATGCCTTATGCCTCTGATTTTAAACCAAGCCTACACTTCAAGAGTAAAATTTTACTTCAAGTAAAATTTGTGCCCTTCATGCACTTTTAGATTTATTCTGAGACTGAATATGATATACCAGGGCTGGCAAATCCCAAGGGTGAGTAACCAGTGCTCATAACAAATTACAGCTGGCGCCTAACCTTTGAGGTTTTCTCTAGTTGTCAATGAGGCTGGAAAAAAAACGCTTCTTCCTGAATTGGACAGACTGGCTCTTGAATTCCATATTAATTTGCCCACCCCTGGGATAAACAAATATTGCATAAAGGGTGCAGGGCCCTGTCCTGGTTTAATTGTTTTTAAAATAAAAATGTGCTTTATGTGAAATAAAATGTGTCTGCTTTTATACATTTTGCTTTCATGTGTGATAATATTACTGAGCAGATGTTCCACTGAGAAGTGCTTGCATAGAGATCACAAATATTTGAAATACCAGACTGGTCATGCCCCTCAATGAACAGTATTGTAGATTCATGACAAAAGCTTTATTTGGCTGCAGTCAGAGGTATTTAAAGTGAATTCAACTATCAGGGTTTTTTGCATATATACTGCTAGCAAGCAGTAGATATATACAAATACATTTAAAAAAAATAACAAACAAAAGTTATCTTAGGGGTCAGGTGGGGCGACTGGTGGCGAGTAACTCTTAAGGCCTGGCTAGTAGCTCAGGACTTGAAATTTTGAGCCCTGAAATAGGTAATTACTTACCTGTGTCTCCGGCGCTCGCTCTCGTCTGAAGATTATCGAGCGGCCTTGAAGGATCATGGGGTGGGCGCATGCGCGGTAGAGATCTTTGGCCGGCGAGAAGAGGAGAGACACAGTGTAAGTTGATGCACGCAGCCAGGAGAGTGCACAGGGCCAGACACTGTGGGACACAGGAAGAAACACCAGTCAGTGCTGGATCAGAGACCGGCACCAGCGCTAGAGGGACTCCAGAAAACTACTGGAAAGAAGAAGAAGATGATCAGATCAAGAGGCATCATTTAAGAAAAGACCTTAAAGCAGTCTTGGGGGATGTGACTTTAATGTCAATTTAATGATTTTTAATAAGTTAATAAGTCACTTGTTTATCAGTTTATTTTCCCAAAAAGTATAATGTTACATTTGCACATATTTGTATTTATTAACATGATTCTGTATTCTTGTATAGTATACATTGCATATTTCCCTGTGTAGCATTACATGTGTGTGAGTAGAAAAGACAGAATAGCGAAAAAAGGGCGACAATAGTCCAGTTATATAGAACAATATATTTAATCTTTATGTCGTTCTCTGTCTCACAGACCTGTGCTAGCTATTGTGGAAGTGGAAGTTCAGGAGGTCGATGTAAATTCCAGAGAGAGAGTATTTCAGGAAATATCCTCATCTCAGGGACCTCTGGATGCCACTGTGGAAGTTCACATTGACTCACCAACAGCTGAGGACAAAGCTGAGTTCCCTGAGGACATTAGCACAGAGCTTGTACAAAGATTTCAGAGTTATGGTACTGTTATACTTGTACGGTAAGTACAACAGGACAAAATAAGCACAATTAAAGGCAATGAGTGGTAGGCATTTTGTGTTTTAATAGGTATTGTAAGAAATTCTAACCTTCTAGTGAATCAAATCAGACAAATAGTAGGGCCAAAATCTAAATATATATTAGATCAGATCAGTGCAAACTCACTTTCTTTCTTTGCTGCAGTTTTTCTCCAAAATTGCTTCCTTGCATTTAACTTCTCTCTTCCTCTTCTTCTGTTCCCTCTGCTTCAGAAATGCCAATAACCTGTTCTTGTGCATTAGTGGCCTTGTGGACCCCTTGTACTACTGTGCATTGGTCCAAATAAATATGTCCATAAAATCCCAACATGGCTACCAACTCAGAAGCTTTTATATTTAAAAAAAAAAGAAAAAACTTTTTTTGCAACACATTGGCAAAAGGTTTCTTATGGGCGTCAGGGACTTGAGCTCCTAGATATGTAGACCTGCCTGGGGAAATAGTGAGTTGGTCCAGCTATTTGTTTTTTAATTAATTTTATATTCTGGAGACTGAGACAAGAGCAGTGAGAACACTGATTTTATACAAAGGACACTGAATTAGAAATGAGAACTGCGGCAGAGAGATCCTTTCAGGGTGCATTCACACCAAAATCGGAATCAGTGGAGTGTCCTTTGACTTGTGATTGTACCTTCCGATCTGTTGCGTTGCATCATATTTGTTTTTCTTTATGTGAAGTAATGTGTCCTGGGTGGACATACTTCATTGTAATGGCTTGCCATGCGTTGTGCTGGTTTAGCGCGCATTGGCATGCTTTACTCTTTTTTTCAGTGCAGTGTACCACTGTGCTATGTACACTGTGGTGTGAACTGGCCCCTGTAACACCCATTCATTTTTCGTTGCCCTTGTGTTACCATCCATTAAACAAAGGGATGGTTCTGCAACAGATTCGGTGTGAATGAGTACCTTTATCTTGAAGTCATACTTTACTTCAACAATTCCCCAATAGATTATATGAACTTACTGGTTTGATGGCAATAATTCCATGCTCAGATCCAGGGGTGTCCCGAGGCCGGGTGTCACCCGGAGCGGAGACCGGGTGACGCCGTGACGTCATCGCGCATGTGCGGCCATCTTAATGAAGCCTGCCATCTTGGTGGTGGACGCCTGCATCGAGAGGAGAGGACGTTCATCCGGCGGGATGAGGTATGCCGCCGGGTCCCCTCCTCTCTGTTCAGACTGTCGGTCACTCGGTCCATGACAGAGTGGCTGACTTTTTGTTGGGGGTGACACCAAAATGACTGTCAGTCATTTTGGTGCCACTCCTCCAATGGTGGCACCCGGGTGCGGGCCGTACCCCCCACACCCCCTTGTGACGCCACTGCTCAGGTCTGTTGGAGTCTATCTACAGATATAAGCCAAAACACTTCTCTTGTACAGTTACAAGACACACTAAAATCTAAATACTTACAAGATCATACAAAGTAAATGGCATATCAATGGCATTCAAGCCTATGGTCCTTGGCATTGGCACAAGTTTTACTGATTTAAAAACTTGAATAAAAGTATTAAAACCAAATGTTTGTGTGCTTTTATTAGCAGACGTGTTATTTGGTAACTGTTTAGTTTAGTAAGCTTAAGCAAAATATCATGCAATATAATTGTTTTAGGGTTTGCCATATCTGTTATTTATGCATTATGTTCAGTAAATGAAAGGTGTAAATCAAATAATTGTTTTTGCAGCTGGCAGGTGGCAAATGTGAGTCTGGCGTGATAGGGTTGCCGATGGTTTACTGTGACTATATAATATTAAAGCTAAACTCCGGGGTAATTAAAATGTGAGTCTGGCGTGTTAGGGTTGCCGATGGTTTACTGTGACTATATAATATTAAAGCTAAACTCCGGGGTAATTAAAATGTGAGTCTGGCGTGTTAGGGTTGCCGATGGTTTACTGTGACTATATAATATTAAAGCTGAACTCCGGGGTAATTAAAAACAACCCTTGGATTGCAAACAGTTGGGCAGTTTTAAGACTCAGATGATATTTTTTGGAAGTGTAGAAATGGACATTGTTATATGCTGTGATCACATACCTTTTTGTTTTTATTTCCAGGGTAATTGGAGGGCAAATGATGGTCACATTTGCAGATAGCAGGACAGCTTTGCGTGTTCTTGATCTTAATGGTTTAAAGGTAAATTGCAAGCCTCAACCAGTTAACAGTATTCCTACTCCCTAAAATAACTATAAAAATATGAGCTGTTTCAGTATAATTATGTTTTTTATGACTTTTCAGTACTTACTGAATAAGCCAAAGTAACATGGATGTCATTATGGCTGATTTTATTCCTTGCAGGGTACTTGGCTTTTTCCACAGAATTACACAGGCATAGCTATTCAAAATATTTCTACCATCTCATACATTAACAGCACCTTGTATTATGTTGATTGGTGCAATTATGTAAATCTGCAATATTAACAAAATAAACCTGTTCCATACTATTACTCAAATATACAGATCCTTCTTATAAGAGGCATTTCTAAACTGAGGGGGTGGTATTACAATGTATAAATATATTTTATTGTAACCATCTTTAAAATGATGACAGATTTTTTTTAATAAAATGCATGTAAAGTCAAAACCTTATATTTTTTTTAAATGAGTGAGGAAGTGGTTAAAGCTCTGTTGGGTTGCATTGCTATTTGTGTCTTCATCCTTTTTATTTGTCCTGGTGACCCTAATCTGCCATGATGAAAGTGATATAAAGTTGTCATGGGAGCAGAAGGTGAGGGTAGGTTACATCAGCAGAGCATTGCTGGGAAATCTCATCTGCAGTCTCATGAGATTTCAGGGAAAGGCATTTTCCTCCCCTGAGATGATGTGCATGGTCACATGTCCTAGTCACATGTGCCAGAGTTCCAGGGAGTAAAGGGAGATCTAGTAGTCTGCCCTTAGGAAAAATGTTGAGAAGACTGGGAAAGAAAAGAGAAACAAGGTATGCAAAGAATACAAAGTCTGCAATTATCTAGAAGTATCTCATTGCTAAACATTTCTAAACATTTCTAAAGGTGTATTTGTTGTTATTTTAAAGATATGGGTAACGTTCCTCTTAAACTATTTTGTGCTTTGTACTTTACATTGACTTAAACTTTGTAAAGGTCAATCCTATCTTCAGGTCCCTAGTGCAGATGAAGAATTCTGTAAAGACAAGTGAAGATGTCCAGTGATTTAGAGTAGGGATACTTTTATCAATCCTGATTAAATGGAACTTTAATGGACAGCTTTTGTCATAAGGGCAGTCTTGATTTCCTTGTCCCATAGCATGTGAATTGTTTTGGTGGTAGTACTCCCATTGGTAAATTGTTATGCTTTCACATCATCAAGTAATTACTTTCATGCTTGAGCATCAGGGCTTTGCATTACCTGACAAAATGAATCCTCCTTTTTCTTACAGGTGAATGGCAAAACAGTGAAAATAAGACCAAAGACAGAAGATTGGCTGCAGGGTCTGCAGGAAGAAATTGCTCGGAATAGAGATAGTGTAGTACTTCTGTCACCTAATGCCAACTCCTGCCTTCTAGAAGAAAATTTTGATTTTTCCAGTCTGGACTATGAATCAGAAGGTAAAAAGAAAATGTCTTGGATTTGCTTTAACCACTTGCCGTCCATAGCCCTTCCTGAACGGCGGGACAGTAGCCTTATTAAAATGCAAAAATGGCTTGGCCAGCTGATTTGAAAAATGTTCCGGAGGGCTTGGCAGCGAAAGGGTTAATGCCAAAGGTCTGCAGAGACACCTGCTTGTGGCTGCTGTAAGAACCTGCTGCCAGATGCTAAAACACTGTGCCACCCGAAGGTGAAAGAAGGTAATTGGTTCCTGACCCAGTGTCACTGTGTTCATATATAAATGCTTCTACTTGGTGCCTTTCACTTTATACACATTTGTGAAGTGTGTATTTCTTAAATAGTGATTGATTGGTTTACTGCTCATTGGCTGTTTAATGCCTGTCGGGACCGTTTTACTGCACATCCGGATTTCCTTTTCTTCTATTAGAAATGTTATTATTAGTTAGATTTGCCATATTTATAATAGTTCAAATGTCACAAGCCTTCTGGGCCATTATATTTTACTGGGGGGGGGATAAATCGTTGTTTTAATCAAAGTAAGCTCCTCTGCAGAGCTGTCTTCTCAGATAGCCCAGATTAGGTACCAGAGGCGTTACAATCGCCATAGCGACCCAGGCGGGCAGAGGGGGGGCCCGCCAGGACATCCCCTGATGCTGTGTGGGCCGCCTGGGTAGCTATGGCGTCTCAGGCTGCTGGCTGTCACTGGCGGGTGTGAGGAGGAACGTATCGCTGTTGGATCACTGACAGCCTGTCAGTGATCTTTGCAGCAGCGCGTTCCTCCTCACAGCCAGCAGCTTCGGCAGGGGATGCCCCCTCTGATGCAGTGCCAAATAAAGTGTGCGTCGGGCAATGCTATAAAAATTAACTAGAATAAAAATAGAATATACCAGAGGGCTAGTATCTCTGGATAAAATGAAATTGTAGTTTACCTGTTATGAAATGCCTGCTAAATAAAACTGTTTTATATTTCTGCACTCTCCCTACAGGTGATGTATTGGAAGATGACTCTGATGATGTTATGTCTCAGTATCTAATGACTGATAGGTCAGCAGCAAATGATGTCATGTCTCTGGGGAATGAACAACTGCCCGCAACAAACGCATCATCATCATCAACTAAAGCCTCTTATATGAGTCCTAAGAAGCCTCACTCATTTAAAGGTAAAAGCAAAGAGTCCTTGTGATTATTTCTTTTTGTGCTGAGCTAAACAGTCATTTTTTAATTATGAAAAAGAAGACATTGTCACTGTTTGTGGTTTCCATGGGTGGCAGTATTTCCTATGCACAGCTCATGAAGTAATTTCAATAAAGGAAACGTGAGGCTTTCATGAGTCAATTATACAGATATTTTTGTGTAACGCTAATATATTTCACAATCATTCTAAAACACAAGTTAGTTTATATTTTAAAAAACAATGGTTTATATTTAACTTAGAACTGAAGATCAAAGAGACTGTTGTTTCCATGGGTGGCAGTACTTCCTATGCACAGCTCATGGAGTAATTCCAATAAATGAAACTTGAAGCTGTGATTGTGGTTCAGTTATACAGATATTGTTGTGCAACACTACTATATTTCACAATAAATTAGAAAAAACAAAAACGGTCTATGCAACTCAGGAAGCACATCGTAAGAGAGCAGCATTTTGTGTTTTGGCACTCATACAATAGTGGCCTTCAATCATTTAGTTACTCAGGATATGAATCCATATATTGAGAAACAATTCTACATTTTAAAAACTTTTTATATTCATCATGCATAAATCACCTCTGTGTAAGGTACATAGGTTTCTAAGTCGGCTATGTATCAGTTTTGGTACAAATATAACCTTATTTACATGTGCTATCATGTAATTCTGATCTGTGTTTGTGAATGCGTGTTATTTTTCAGATGATGGGGATTTGATGGCTCTGAAGAAAGAGCTTAAAAATGTTGGGGAAGTACGTTCCCGTTCACCAAACAGATCATTGTCTGTGCCTAACCGGCCTCGTACACGCCCACCCCAAAGACCTCCACCTCCAAGTAAGAGAACCTATATGATATGTATATTCAGAGTACATGGCATACATCTTCAAGTTATTGGAGAACCTTATGGCACTGTTGAAAAATGTGATATGAATGCATGCAATGACATATTTTACATATCATGAATATTTTCCTGAAACGAGTGAATGTTGCTACTATTTGTTCATTAATACTGATGTCCTGCTTCTCCAGTTATTTGGAACTCTTGTACGAGTACTGATGTTGTGGTTTCCCAGCTATTTGGAACACCTGTAAAAGTCACTGATGAGCCAATGCTCTGTGATGAGGTTCTTTATCAAGAATGCATGGCCTGTATTACATTTTCTCTATGAAATTATATTTTAAAAAACAGAGCAATGAGATTTAAAATTATGTTTTACAGAGAGTAACATTCCAGCATCCATTCCACAACCATCGAAGCTTCTTCCTGGAGCTCCCCAGCATCCCGTAAGACAAAATCTTTGTAGTTCTGAAGTTATTTTAAGTTTATACATACCATACCCACAATTCTGTAAATAACAAATGATCAACGATTTTATTAGGATGTTATTAAGGCCTTAAAGAAAAGAAAATTATACCAAAGTCATAAGATATGAGCGTGAATATTGTAATGCATTCTGTATTATATTTACATCCAAATTTTTTTTAGTGCTAAGATCTAGGTGCTGAATTGGGTTCAGTGTTAGAGGGTTTGGAAGGTATTTAAATCTAAACTGATAGGTTACTGGTTCGGGTTAAGGGTTGATATTAAAGGGTTGGCTAAGATTAACTCTATAGTAAACCTGGCAAGAAACAAATATGTGGCATGCCATTGTTGACCTGTTTCTGTACATGCTGTTTGCCTGGCTGCCTCACAGGCTTTAGCACGTTATAGATCAGTGACCCAGAAAAGGAAGCAGATGAAAAAAATCAGAAATCTTTTTTTGTGTTCCTGTTCTGGGTCAGTGTCTATCTGTGAGTATTGCTGTTGCTTTTCTGTTCCAAATGAGGCTACCCCTTCTGAGTTGTATCAAAGATCTAAGCCCTTGCTTCTCTGTTGTAATTTCTATAAGGCTAATCCAGTCACTTTCTTTACTTGCAAAAAAAATTACATATATGGTCTTTGGGCATGTAGGACATTTATTCTTAGTTGCTAAAAATATCGACCCTATTATGGCTACTTTTTCACAAACAGAGGCAAGGTGTTTAACCCCTTCATGACTGAGGCCTTTTTTTTCATTTTTTGCACCCATGTTATATTCCACATTTTAGGCCTGAAAATGACTTAAAACCCCCAAACATTATATATTTTATGAATGCCAAGACCATATAGAATAAAATGGTGGTAGTTGCAAGTGTTTATGTTGCGCAATATTAGCGCAACTCCTTATTAAACCCCAACATTTAGTGAAAAATGTAATTAAAAGCCCCAAAACACAACAAAATACCAATTTTTTAAATGAAATTTAAAAGATGAGGTTACAACGAGTAAAACGATACCCACTATGCCCAGGTTACAAATTGCGTGCGTCTGTGAAACGGCGAAAAACTGCAGTACCCCAAAAATCCATAGAAGACACTTTAAAAGCCCCCACAGGTCATCAATTTAGAGATACCCCAAAATACTGGCCCTAGAATTATTGCTCTCACTCTGGCGTGCGCGGCGGTGTACGTCGTCAGTCACGAAGGGGTTAATATGCTAAATAAGTTGCGCTTGATCAAGGTGAATGTGGATTCCAGAGTAAAGAATAAATCACAAAAAACACATGAACATCTAAATAAATACCGGAATCTTCTATCTCATTGTGTGATCGATACGTGAATAATCCAACAATCAATATGACTCAATCTCTTAGTTTCAAGAGAGAGCCATAATCATTGTATGAATGCCTGAAATTCTTATTGCGGCATGTGATACGTGAAACATGTATTCATACACCCCACAGTGTATCAATAAATATATGTGTGACAGAAGCACCGAGCTCACTTAGTGTGGCTCAGAGTCCTCCGTGGCAAACAAATGAAACAAAAAACAAATAAAGCAACCTAGTTGCAATCCTTATATAAATGACCCGTGGGTCTAACACTCTTGCATGTGTGAACTTAATCTGGTGAGCAACTTATATGAAGTAAGATATACGTTCTAATTCCCCTCTCAGATGTATACACGGGGTTAAATATTTAAACCAATCCCAACAATATAACAAACAAGCACAAATAAAAATGGGATAATCTCAGCAATATAGCAAGCAGTCAATTTTTAAAATTGACTGCTTGTTACATTGCTGAGATTATCCCATTTTTATTTGTGCTTGTTTGTTATATTGTTGGGATTGGTTTAAATATTTAACCCTGTGTATACAGCTGAGAGGGGAATTAGAACGTCTATCTTATTTCACTTAATTTGTGTTTAATCACTACCTATTTTTGGTCATTGAGACACTAATAAGTGTGTGCATATTATTATTATTAGGAAGATTATATTTTCACGATTAGGTATCGAAACCACTATCGTTGCTCACCAGATTAAGTTCACACATGCAAGAGTGTTAAGGTCCCCACACACCTTACGATAATCGTACGATAATCGCGGGAAATCCCGCGATCGTACAATTATTGTAAGGTGTGTGGAAGCCGTGCGACCTCTACTACTGTAAGGTCGCACGACTTTAAACTTACGGACATGTTCGAAAACCCGCCGAGCATCTTACGATGTTCGGCAGGTTTGTGGCATGGCCATACGATAACAGCCGTACGGGCCTGTGTGCGCAAGCGCACACTGCCCGTTCGGCATTGCGGTCATCGGAAGCCCGCCCCTCAGGGGGCGTGGCTTGCGATTATCGCAAGTACGATCTGCCTATGCAACATAGGCAGATCGTACGTTTTTTTCAAGTACCTTACAACCATCGCAAGACAAAAGTCTTGCGATGGTTGTAAGGTGTGTGCCCAGCCTTAGACCCACGGGTCATTTATATAAGGATTGCAACTAGGTTGCTTTATTTGTTTTTTGTTTCGTTTGTTTGCCACAGAGGACTCTGAGCCACACTAAGTGAGCTCGGCGCTTCTGTCACACATATATTTATTGATACACTGTGGGGTGTATGAATACATGTTTCACGTATCACATGCCGCAATAAGAATTTCAGGCATTCATACAATGATTATGGCTCTCTCTTGAAACTAAGAGATTGGGTCATATTGATTGTTGGATTATTCACGTATCGATCACACAATGAGATGGAAGATTCCGTTATTTATTTAGATGTTCATGTGTTTTTTGTGATTTATTCTTTACTCTGGAATCCACATTCACCTTGATTAAGCGCAACTTATTTACCATATTAGATACCTTCCTCACACAAAGTTGCTGCTGGTCCTATAAGCTATTTAGAATCCATTCCTAGCGCAGTGAGCCTTGGAACCAATCAAAGAGGCAAGGTGTTGCAAACCTTTATCATGGCCTAACATTTATAAAACCAGACGTATCTCAGAATAGGGATAATCTGCCTCAGATGGAGTGCAGCCAATCAGCTTTTAAATATTCTAAGCTGTGTTGAAAAAAAAAAAGGAAAGACAGATGCTGATTGGTTGCAATGTAGCTTTGTGACAGAACTTTTTATTAATTTTCCCTAGAGTGTCAGAGACGTGGAGGGAATTATACTAACTTAAGACTGATAGGGCTATTCACTAAAGAGTGAAGAGAGTGAAGAAGGCAGGAGAAGTGAACAATCTAGGCCAAACTAGCTGGAAAAATTCTCAAATTCAGCTCACTTTCCAGGTCAGCTATGTTGTCCTAGATTGTTCACTTCTGCCTTCTCCAAACTCTTCACCCTTTAGTGAATAGCCCTTTGAATGTTCAAATTCTCAAGCAAGTCCAATTGGACTGGTTCTCCTTACAATTACTGTGTTTCCAGGGATACACTTTCCCTTTGACACAAGAGAGTATATTGCTGCTAATTAATGGCTTGATTCAATGTTCTATAAGTTTCTATGCTCAATTCTTGCTTGAAAATATTGCATATTTTGTAGTAGACTATTTAGAGATAGGTAAGATAACTGATTTTATAAGATTGTCATATTTTACTTTGAAGCTATTGTAGGCATTTTAAGGAATACTCTAATTACATGTTGTAGTAATTTATACTATATGCTTTTTTTTTTTTTAAAGCCTCAAGACAAAACTGGGATAAGCAAACCTTACAATGTAAAACAAATTAAAACTACTAATGCACAAGAAGCAGAGGAAGCTATTAAATGGCTGATGGATTCCAAAAAAGGTGAGATTTGTTTTACTGTTATTCAAAATGCAATTGAATTATGAAATACTGTCTTTCGTGGTGGTACTTGTAGGTTTAGCCTTTGTTTCTCTGATACTACAGCAGTGCATCCTATAATTGTTACTATTACACATGTGCTTTGCAGTTCACAATCCCAGCAATAGTGAGATACTCCAGGCAAAGGTTTTCAATGCCGGGATAATAAGACATTAGATGGTACTCTGAGTTGCCTTTCTGGACTCCTGCATGTATAGGATTTCTTTCACATGTATACTGTCATTGAAAATGACACACTCAGAAATAGTAGCTGAATTGTTACCCCACAGACCTCCTCCAAAAGTACCAGGTCCAAGACCTGTTCCTTTGCAACGATCTGGTGTTAAATGAGAACAGGATTACTTTCACATGTGCACTGTCCCAGAAGACAACAGCAGCAGGCAAACATCATCACACAATTTTCTAAAAATAAGAAATCTAATATTCACAGCAGTGTGAGGGGGACACTGGGTACAAAAATGATGTTACTGTGTTTGTACACAGATAGTTTAACTTTATGTATGATCCATATGTATTTTAATGTAATAACAGGATTTATTTTTATTTTAGAAAAACCAGAAGGGGAAATAAAAACCAGTCTGCATCGCAACCCAAGTTTCCCAAAAGGAGAACCTAAATCTGTGTCCATGAAAGCACCAGAGACGCACTCAACAGAAACAGAAGCTGTATTGATACCCCACAGGCCTCCCCCAAAAGTGCCAGGTCCTAAACCAGGTCCTTTGCAACGAACTGGACTCTTATCAGAACCTGTAAGTCTGCTATTTCCATATTCTGTATTTGTGTCTCCTAAACTAATACTTAAAGTGGGCCTTGCGGTAAAAGGCAAAGCCTATGTATTACACTCTCTACTCTCCCCATCTAAAATTGCAACATTAATGCTGTAAAAGCAAAATACCCCCTGAAAAAAAATAGAAAATGCAGTTACCTTCCGTTACTGTCCAGGTCACCTCGAATGCCACCAGAGTGTCATTTACCTTGGTAGGAGCCTGAGATGATGAGGGCGGTCTCTCTTGCTGCTCTTGTCCAGACACCTCTGAAAATGATGCACAGTAAGTGTAGGGATGGAAGAGGGACATGAGTGCCTGGGAGAGCTTGACGACACCTGAGCAGAAGGAATAGATGGCAGGATGCAGAGAGTTTCAAGGAATTCACCCCTAAATGATTAAGCTGATAGCAGATGTAACAGTACCAATGCAGAAGGCAGAATCGTGGTCTGGAACAGGCCAGCTCAACAATAGGTGGGCAGCGGGGTACAGAATAGGCAGTCAGAAGCAGGTTCAGGGACAGGCCGGGTCAATAACTTGCGGGCAAAGCAGTACCAAATCAGCAGGCAGAAGAGTAGTAGGAAACAGTCCAAGGTCACTAAGGCAGGCAGCAGACAGCAGAATCAGAGTTCATCCTTAAATAGGCCGCCTGGCGCCATTGTTTGAATTAGCCATGCGCACACTGTGCAACATGTGTACGTCCACGCGCAGATGCATGGGTATGCGCCATCCTATCAACGTGACGGTGCACATGCGATTGCGCATGCGCAGCTGCTCCCGCTTGACAAGAGTAAGCTGGACCTCCTCGACAAGTCACATTTTGTTGAGCATTGATGAAAAACACTGGAAGAGATACTATAATGCTTTCATTATTTATATATAGATATATAGTGCTTTCATTTTAACCATCAAATCTTTTACTATAAAAGGTCTTTTTCATATTTTTTGCATACCTAGTGTAACTGTATGCACATGGAAAAGGTAATTTAGCACTGTATGGCTTCCTCAAATTCGTTCTTTCATAGTCTGGTAGCTGACACAAGCACACAATTGTCCTTCTGTCACTATAAAATTCAATTGTGCATTTAGATTAGCAGTATTTTCTGCAGAAGAGTGGACAGTTTGGGTAGGATAAAAGAATTATTATTTCTGGAGTTAGTGTATTTACAGCCAATAATCTGTGTGATGATTAGAACCCTCGCCAGGATTTTATTACTGTCTATGTCCCCATTGGCTAGATTTATCCTCTGTTTGTCCTGCGGGCCATTGTCACAGGAGCAGAAAGTAATGGGGAAATCCAAAATTGTACAGTTCTCATCAGAACTGGAATCGAGGGGAATCCCTCCTGTGGGAACTATCCCAGAGACAACTGTCTAGGAAGTGAATTAATTTTGTAGCAATTTCCTGTCACTTTCTGTTACAGGTGAAACTCGAATAATTAGAATATCGTGCAAAGTTTATTTATTTCACAAATGCAACTTAAAAGGTGAAACTAATATATGAGATAGACTCATTACATGCAAAGCAAGATAGTTCAAGCCGTGATTTGTCATAATTGTGATGATTATGGCTTACAGCTCATGAAAACCCCAAGAACCCCAAATCCACAACCTCAAAAAAGTAGATTATTACATGCAATCAATAAAACAAGGATTGTACATAGAACAATATCGGACCTCTGAAAAGTACAAGCATGCATATGTACTCAGTACTTGGTTTGGGCCCCTTTTGCAGCACTTACTGCAATTACTTTTGCACGATATTCTAATTATTCGAGTTTCACCTGTATGTCTCTAGACATGATGTGACAGGGAATCTCCACAAGGGGACACAGCAAAAAATAAAGTAACAGAGGTTTTAAACTTTCTCTATGCTATCAAAATAAATATACAAGTTTTGACTACATTTACATTTTAGGTTGCAATGAGTATTTATCAGGAAAAGTATACACACACACACACACAAAATAGCAAGGTTTTCTAGATATTATTGTATGGTTTTTATAAAGCGGTTACAAAATATACATTGTTTTCTGCACATATTAAATACTTAAGTGATTTGGTTGTACTTTTATTTACACGTTCTCTTTTTCCAAAGTTACTTCATCCAGAAAAGAAGACAGAGCAACCCCAGCCACCAAGTAAAAATAACTTGCCACAAGTACCTCCAAAACTGGGGCATCGTGCTGAAATATGCGATGGTTTAATACCCTTAAAACCTCCACCAAGAGTTCCTCCCAAACCAAAACATGAACCATCAGTGATTTCACCTGATCTGGAAAAAATCTCTGATAATAATCTGTTATCTGCATCTGTTAAGAAAATTGAGGAATCAGGGATAAGTGATTTTGCACAATCGCAGCCAGCTGAAGAACTGGTGGTATGTTCAGAGACCCATCATCCAAAACAAGCAACTACTGATGTTGGCTCTACAGTTTCAGGTAATGCACTTGAGGACAAGCTTAAATCAGATCTGAACGGTCAGTCCATTCAAGCAGCTCTTTCAGCATCCAGACCAGAGGCACTTATAGGCACGATTTGCTCTGCAGACGTATCAACCAATACCTTGATTTCAAAAAAGGAGCACAAAGTAGAAACTGCAGACATAAGTGATACTCCTAGAATGTATCCTATACCCAAACCAAGGACAATACTGCCTCCTCAAACTGCAAAAACTCAAGAAACTAAACAAGGTGACAAGATTCTTTCTCCCACCAAAAATAATTGCACATCTGAATGTAGTTCATTTACCCCAGCAGTGCCTCCACGGAGAAAAAAGTCTGCTCCTGCAGCTTTCCACCTTCAGGTGTTACAAAGCAACAAAAGTTTGTTTCAGGATGTCATGTCTTCAAATACCAATAACAACAACAGTCGTAGTGAAGGATGCCTAATAGACATGGATTTTCCTGAGATTGTAAGCACAAAAGATGACAGTGATCTCCCAACCGGCCACAATAAACCACTACAGCCAGAAAGAAGCTGGTCTTCTAAGGAATTGGATCTTCTAGATTTTGATGATAACAAATTAGTTCAGTCCTCAAATGATGGTATGACTTCTGAACAGTTTACTGACAATTGGCTTATGGGCCAAGATGAGGAAAAAAGTGAAACTACTATTTTCAAGAGCAATTGCGATTCTCCTTAGTGAATACAAGTGTGTATTTAATGTAATGCTGGCCATACCCTAAGAGAGATCTATAATATATGCGCCGTTATTTTATGACAATAGTGTATAGGTTACAGATGATGACATGGAGAACCCCCAATATCTTGTAGATCCTGCAGGTTGGAAAATCCAGGCTGATCCTTGGCTGGATAGAAATAATTTGGTGCAACATTTGTTAATTTATCACTGTTGTTATTGGTAAGGAGTTCTCCAGCAGGCTCCGAACTATGCATATGCATTGTGGGTGAAGAAACTGGGTCTGATCATTCACTTTAACTCAAGGTAAACATAGCTTTCAGTCTATCTCCTGAACCACTGTAAAGTAAGCACACGATTAATAAATAAGCACAAGAGCTTAGTCTTAATGCAAATTGCCATGTGCAGGTAGGGTATAAAACCACCAAGCTGTGAAATCTAGTTCATCAGGCATCAGCCAACCTTGAAGATACCATTACCCACTTATTTTATATAGTAGTATTTCTGATCAACATTATGCTAGTGTTCCAGAGGCAGTTCTGATTGCCTTTCTCTTAGGCATTCTTAGGAACTCTGAAGCAGGGGGTGAGGTGTGTCTATTGAATTTCTTTTGCTCGTTCTTTTACAAACAGGCTGTCAGACAGACGTTTACGGTACAAGGCGTTTGCCTAGGGCCGCCCCCCAGGAAAGTGCCGCCCTAGGCAAACGCCTTGTTTGCCTCGTGGTAAATACGCCCCTGGTTGTGATGTTGCTTGAACATTTGTGTTTTTGTCTATAGTGCTTAAGACTTGCTGCATAAAAATGATTGCTACATAACTCCTGAGAGGTCAGAGGGCTGTCCTTACCTCAGGGGATCCTGATTATTTGTTAGGTGATGACCAGACCTTTTTCACTTAGTATGCATATACACTGCTGAGTGATGTTGTAGAAGTTCTTTAACTCACCACATATTATTTTATTACAGGTACTTATATAGTGCCATCAGCTTACATAGCGCTTTATATGCTGTACGTTTACATCAATCCCTGCCTCCAAAGAGCTTACAATCTAAGGTCCCTATTGCACATATTTACATACTAGGGTCAATTTTGACAGCAGTCCACTAGCCATCTTTGAAATGGGAGGAAAACTAAAGTACCTGGAGGAAGCCCACAAAAGCACAGAGCATGCAGATAGTGTCCTGGCCATGATACAAACCAAGGACCCCAGTGCTGCAAGGGCACATGTGATAACCACTAAGCCACTGTGTTGACCCTAGATTTCTATTTGCAACTCTGGTACTTTTTTACATTGTCCTGTTGTACAATTTACCAAACTTTTTTTCGAAACAACCAAAGTTCTTCTGTGGAATGAATGTACGGTTACCTTAACATCCTATCACTGTAAATCAGAGCTGGCTTGCTGTATACAAGTCCAGGTGCACTGAGCCGTAACTACTAAGCTAAGTGCTTTGTGTATTTAAGTTTCTTTAGTAAGAAAGAGCCATCAGTTGGCTTTTCCCTGTTGTTTTCTAACCTGCATTGGTAACATGAGAGGTTGATTTGTTCTCAGGAGCAATGCAGACAATTCCTCTGTCAGACACTTTTATACTGTGGCCCTTAAGGTTTTAGCTGGAGAGAATTTAGAGTTCCAACACTTGTTATAATTATTTGTAAGAAATCTGTAGTGTATTTTTAATTACCATGCATTTCGGGTTAATATTGTAACTGTCACCTGAAAGTCATTTTTGGCGGTGACCTACATCACAAGCTTCCATATTTTTACTATTGTATTTAATAGGGGTTGTTGAGCAACGTTTTGTTGTGAGCTGTTACAGTTAATGTATCAAATGTTCAGCTCTTTAAAGTGAAGATATCCTTCATACTTTGTAATTGCTTGTAACCACTTTGATAGAAGCACAAGAAATGAGTTGACGAAATCTGTTCTCGCCTGTTGCTGCACGTCACGCCTGTTTTTTAGTTATCTCTTATGAACGTTACATGTAGTTTTTATATAACATTATTGGGAAATTCCATTCCAAACCTCCTGGACTATCCTGATTTTACTTGGTACAGTCCCAGTTCCCAAAACCTATGAATGAGTAGGACCAAAAGAAAATGGATATGTTATAGACAAAATTAAAAAACTGTGGGGTGAGGCTTAAAGGGTAAGTTCACCTTCTCACAAAATGTGAAAAAATGAATTGCATTAGTGAAATAAATGAACTTTGCACGATATTCTAATTATTCGAGTTTCACCTGTATATACTGCAGGGCAAAGTACCGTCTACGAAACATACACTGGCTGGTGGGGTTGCTGGCCATGGGATCACCTAGGTATGTGCAGTGGTGGCAGGAAGAGTCTGTATGTCAATTTTTTCACATTTTGTGAGAAAGTGAACTTACCCTTTAAGTGTATCCAGATTTTATCATTTACAATCCTGGAGGAACCCCAATGTTACTTTATTATGTTCATGACATGCAAAAGCAAATACAAATAAGTTAGGCAAATAAGGTAAAAATAAGGTAAATGATAATAGATTATTATTTTGTTATTTTTAGTGTAATATTAACAAAAGATGGAGAAAAAGGTTTGTAAGGACCAGATGAATACCATAGTTGACCTAAACAATAGAGTTTTATCTGAGAATAAGTAACCTAAATCAATCATGTTTTATTTGTTTCTCTGAACAAGATCTGTCTAATATGAAATGTCATCATCAAGCTGATTGTCTGCTGAACACTCTGTACTGCTGCGGCACTTGGCTGACTGCACTAGCCTTATGATGGTATATATTTGAAATGTGTGATTTCTTTTTTTCTTCAAATAAAACTCAAGTAAAAACACTTGGCCGTGGAGTATGTTGTATTTTAAAAGAGTTCCACATGAAAGTTTGTAAAAAAAATTTGACATATGAAAGTTATCTTAGGAATGGGTTGGGTTACAGGCTTCACACAGGCTGGTTTCAGATCACATTGCACCAGGCGTTGCTCTACATTATTGAGATTGCGGACTCTGTGTTGTCAATCTCTTTTTCTATTTTAAAAGGGAAATATCAGGGATTTGTTTAGACCCCCTAATATTTCCCCAGAGCCCCTAAAAGTAAAGTAAAAAATACAAATATTAAATGAGTTAATAAATAAAAATAAATATAAAAACAATGAAAACATTTATAAAAAATAAATAAAAATAAATTATTTGAAAAAATGAAAATAAAAACGTTTTTGGTTTTGGTTTCGGCCTGACAATTTTTTTGTTTCGGTTTTCAAATTTCTATTTCGGTGCACCTCTAATTGCTAGCATGCAGTACCACGGGCTGGTGGATTGTCCTTTATTTGAATGGCACCCCGATGCACCTCCTGGTGGCCCTGCGTTGCAGCGCATTGAAATACATTGTGTTGCAGTGAAAAAAGTAATGCATGCACTACTTATTTTCACCGTAACACGTGACAACTCTGGGGCTGCTGACATCACATCTGAGACGGGGGCACACCGAGGCTGTCTCAGGGAGTTTGGATGAGGAGGGTTTTACAGGTATAAAGCACGAATAAAATAAGTTATACGCACATATAATCTTCTGCAATGATTTTTGTTGGTCTCGTGACAGGGTCTCTTTACGCCTTTTTCTCCAAAAGAAAGAAAACTGTTGCTGTAATTTGCTCTGCCCGCTTTAAAGAAGCATATTAAACATTAACCCTTGTAGTGGGGCTACCCCCACACCGCAAGAGTTAAGTGCTCATTTTGGTCTAGGGTCTAAAGTAAAATAAATACTGTATACTGAACTGATCCTTGATCCCATCTGGTTGCTAGACCAGTCCCCGCAGCCTTTCTCCCCTTTTCTCACCTGATCCTCGGTTCTGCAGCAGTGACCACTCACCTCTCTCCCCCTCCACTCTGGCTGGGGGAATGTCCCTTGATGTCCTTAAGTCCAATGCGAGCAAGAAGACGTGATGATGTCACAGGTCATCAGACCGCCAGGGTAGAGGGGAAGAGAGGCTGCGGGGACTGGTCTAGCAGCCAGTCGGGATCAAAGATCGAGTGAGTGTATCTTTGTTATTTTAGACTGAAATCAGCACTTAACCCTTGCAATGCAATGCGGGAACAAGGGTTCATGTTTAATATGCTCCAAGTTCTTCTTTAAAGCCTGCAGAGCATTGTAACTGCAATCGGTGCCTCTCAGATGCAATGCTCAGGCACCTGCATTGTTTATACCCCAGAACCAGGTCTGTACGGAGCTAGAGACCTTCTGTTATGGGGCTGCAGGAAGTGGTCAGTGATTCATTATTGTTCCTGTACTGTAACAGGGTGACAATGCTGTTTCCTTTGCTGGAGTTCTTTAATTTGACCTTTTGTACCATGTTTCATGTTCCACCCATATTAAGGATGTAACATGGTCAGACCACACCCCATCCCCACCCTTCTTCCCGCAGGCTTGTTTACAAGTTTGAATTTGGTACGGCTGTGCGTGGCTCCACCCACACAGATGTGTCATCCAGTCACAGATCATTTGACAGGTGGACAAGTCCCATCAACCACTGCAGCAGAGGGACTTCTCAATGGAATACAAGTGCAGCGACGTCACATTGGAGATATGGACATGGATGGGAGAAAGAATCTGCAGGAGCCAGAGCAGTGCACCCACGATTCACTGATCGCAGTTACTAGGGTTGCCCCGGACAGTCTGGTTTTTGACTCGTGTCCGGGTGTCAGGCCAGCTGAGCCCTGGACACAAGGCACTAACAGGGTTATTCACAAAAGAGTGAAGAGTTTTCAGCAACTGTAGACAGGCACAGGGCGGCCCGCACATCTCCTCCTTCCTGACAGCATGCTGCCTGCCTCCAGACCCCTGGTGAGACTCCCGCACAGCCTCCTGAAAGCCAGCATAGCCCTCCTGAAAGCCAGCATAGTCCAACTGAGATCCCACACAGCCATCTGAGAGTGTGCACAGCCCACCTGAGATCCCCACATAACCACCTGAGAGTCTGCATAGCCCACCTGCATGTTGAGTGTGCGCATGGCTTACCTGAGACCCCCACACAGCCATCTGAGTGTGCGCATAACCCACCTGAGACCCCACACAGCCATCTGAGTGTG